ATTTTAAATCTATGTATTATATGTAGCTATATTGTGTTGTAAATCAACTTCATTTGTTAATAAATGAAAACAATCCAGTTCATCTCAAACAATCGATTTTATTAAATCAAAAAATATTTCTAAAATTTCAAGCATATGTAATATGGTATATGATATTGATTTGTAACACCATAACAGCATAATATCAACAGTATTTAATAAAAAAAAATTATCAAAATCATTTCAACATATTGCTTAGCGTGGTTTTAAGAAATGCGCAAATACGGTTTTAACGCAATTAAAGTAGACTTAGCATTATAGTATTTTAGCTTTTATCATCAAAATAAATGTTTAAGCAATTTTGTTTTATGTGCATACAAAACTAAAATAAAAATATAATCGAGGTTTGATATAGTCTACACAATGAAGCTTGCTAGTAAAGTAGGCCTATACTTTATGTATATTACAGCCGTTATTTTCATTACATATTTTATCTAAAAATAGAAATCCATATATACCACAAGAACATTTTAAATTGACTTAAAAATCCTTTGCAAATATAACAGCTTTAATTTCAGAACAGCATCTCCGTCTCAGGAGAATTTTACAAAAAACGATTTATAATCAGCTGTCTTGAACTTGCATGCAAGGCATTTAAAAACTAGTAAAATCTGATCATAATTATACACATAATTCTACATTTAACAACCAACACTAGTCTTACATTTTTTCACAAAATAAGTTATAAAGTAGCAACATTCTTTTGTAAATAAAAGAGGTCAGTATAGCCGCAGAAAAACCCCCGTATCCGTTTACAAGAAAATTAAGGCGACCTAAAATGTTTGGGAAGTTGTTCCAATTAAAGCAACACTCGTTCACAGTTGTGTCAAGCTAATCACTTCTACTCAAACAGCAAATGGTTGGCGGTGTGTGGCAGACAAGGGTTGGGGCTATATTTAAGTGATACCCATGGGAAAAGAAAAAGAACCCTCTTCTTGACTTCACTTTCAGGCTAAAGACGCTGCTGAGATTGACCTCCTGAATTCTAAACAGTGGCCCTATAATCCACAACTGTCCCATTATTTCTGAAATTGAGATAAACGTGTGTAAGCACATTGTTCTAATACCTTTCTGTCACAGTGGACTTTGACAGCTCGTTTCTATACAACAATTTATTTCTGGATTCTCGGTCAAATACTCTTATTCAAATGAGCTCAAAATATGTTGCTGCTGTTCTATTTTTAATTTTACGATATTTTGCACAAACACTGGTAATCACGTTCATCTTATTTCAAGTAAGTATTGATAGGACTAAGTCTGAATTCCCTTGCCGGAATTGTTGTGGAAATTATTTAAAACGGGTAGCGAAAATAAATAGCCCATTAAAAACAAGTTTGTGATAATAACAACAATTTATTAAAATAACAATATTTAATTAACTATAATAATAAACATATTTCAAAAGCAGCATACGATTGTAAGTTTAAAATAACAGACTAATGATGACTGCGAAAATAAATCGTTGTCACAAAAACAAATTAAACGTGCTAGAAATTACACAATTACAGCACATCAAATGATATCGATAATGACGTTAGTATCATTAGTGTATCAGATGGCGTACAGAAATAAATGGCATTTAAAAATAAATCTTTGGCAAATGGGATCACATATCTCGATGTATCAACAGTAGGACTAACCCTGGTCACATCTCTAAAATAAACGTGTTTCTGTGCATCTGTTGCGGGGATAACGATTGCGCACGTGGAGCAGTTATTTGTTATTTATCTTGGACTTGAGATACTGTGAAATTGTTTAGATTCAACGGGTTTTAATAAGGGATCTATTTCGAGGACGGCTGGTGGGAAAGAGCTGACTCTTTAACGAGTGCAAGGTTATAACACATCCCGCTTAATGCCTGAAGTCAGGAGACATGGGCCCATTGTCTACTAACAATAAATAAATAAATTAAATAAATAAATAAATATGAATAAATAACCTACATTCGAGACATTTCACTATATATATTTATACACGATACCTACAAAGTATAATGTCAGGGATCGTCACAGTTCAATAAGAAGCGTCAAGGTTTTATGTTTTTAGCAGTTTTGCCTTGCATTGTATTCTGTCGCGTATCTAGACGTTTAAAAACAACTGTCTCGCAACTTTCTATTTTTCTTGGCCTGTGAAATACAATGGAAAAGCCCTTGCTGGGCATTCTGAAAGTGACAAGTGGTCGGATGTATTTCTGTGTAAACTAAACAACGCTCTGACCTTTGTGGATCCACCTGCTCTCCGCGCTACACAGGTGTAGAAACACCCACCGCCTGTCCCATTGTCTTACACCCATGTCACAGTCTTGCTTTCGTATTAAATGTTATATTAAGACTCTAATGAAACTGAAATCAGCCTTACGGACTGCGAAATTGCGAAATTGTGAACAACTAATTGCTACTAGGCCAAAATATTGGTATATGTTTTACCAATAATTTGGCATAGTTTGGCTGAATATAAACAAACAAAATTAAGTCGAACATTACTACATTTAACTTGTTTATTTAAATTCAACACATAGGCCTATCAATAGTTTGCAACAATTTTGCAGACATATTTTTTCAGTACATATGAAAACATATGGTAATTTTTCAGTAAATGCTTTTGAACCACACTATTGCAACATGTATTATACTGTATATATTTCAGTACCATAATGAACTAATCAACTATAATAAATACTGCAGTACGTTTTTATACAGTAAACTGTAATGTATATAAAATAATTGTAAAATAAAATGGGGTATTGGGTAGTTTGTTTATATCACTATTGTTATATTGTCATATCAACTATATTACTACAATATATTAATTCTATAATTCACTACAGTTTAAAACACTAGTATTTAATATAAAAAGCTATGGTATTTTTTTATGTGAGAGCCTTTTCAAATTAGCGATCAGTAAATGTGGAGAAACATGCAAGCAAGCAAAAAATTTGCCCTGTTTTAAAAAGAAAATACAGTACACTAACCAATTGCATGCAGAACATTGCTAGGAAGCAATGATAAGCCCAGGTATCTCAGAGCACACGGCCTATAGTAAATGTGGATACAGTGGTTACTAAATATTTAAAGGGTGCAGAGACAAAGCAGTAAATGACAAAAATGGCAAACAGGGACATTAACATGTCATTGAGCGGAATGTGACTAATAGGCTCCTTACTGTAATGAAAGTGTCATTGCAAATCAGCACTTGTCCGTGGTTATTATTTATAAATATTTGATGTCCTTACCACAAAGAAGCTGTCATATCCAGCAGCTCTTAAAGTGAAAGAAATGCTTTGATTACACCACTGTTCAGATAAGGCTTATTATCGAAAAGGGAGCAACATCTACAATTCACTCACTGGCAACGATGCAGAAAATGCTCTCTGACCTTTACAAATCACATCTGGGACTCAATGAATGAATGTGAATGATGCTACTGAATCAGTTGATTTAAGTAAATGAACAGGCAATTTATAAACAGGCCAAAGGTATAATAAACTAACAAAAAAACTAGTTTTCCATTTTTTAAACTGTGTCTAATCTAACTTTATTTTCTTTTTTTTTCTTTAATGCCTGGAATATCAAAAGGATCTAATGTTTATGCATGCTCCCTCTTTATGCCGCTGTTCCCTCTTGCACATGAATTCCATTTTTTGTACAATGGCTTTATTTAATACTGAAAAAAGCAATATGTATTATAACTACAACATGTCGTGCAAATATAAAGAATTCAGTAATACTGGCATTGTACAGTGTAATTGTAATTACTTCACATTGACATGATTGCAGAGGTTGTGCAAACATTTCCATATTAGATGCTTTCTATGTTTTCTCAGCGCTGTGACTTATGTTGTTTTCTGTTCTTGGGAGACATGCCAGCGGCACCTCTTTTACCTCTCAGCAGGTGTCTAAATGTTTTAACCCTTGAATATTGTAAAACAAATCCTGCTAAAATACAATTTAACAACATACTAAATATATTTTGCAACTTAGACTCAATAAATAAATATTTTTGAAATCAAAAGTCAATTTTATTATTTATATTTCTAAATCTATTTCAGTGTACAAACATTAATAAAATAATATAATTATCCATTATTTATAATAAAATATTATTTAGAAGAATTGCATTTAGAGTAATATGCACAGCTATACAACAACAAGCCAAAAATATTTTTCTGCCAATCTTAGGCTGATATTTCATTAATCATTAGCCAATTGCAAATATTGTTAATGCTTTTTCCAAATATAAACTGTAATTTAGAAAATGTTTTTGTAATTTTCTTACTATTTCTTATTTTTTTGCCCATTTTTGTAACAATATGTTTTAAATACATTTGAAATATATTTCTTCCTGTAATTTCTGTGAACAGAGACAGATCATTTAGAAACAGGTGATAAAAATGTCCACTACATCCCTCAGAATAACTAGCAATAGTTTTCTGGCTGCAGTTCATTCAACGGCCACCGCTGCCGCTACTAAAAGTTTGTTTTAAGTTTTATATTAAATGCATTTATATAAAACAACAACAATTATTTATAAATGAAAAACAGCTTGTTATTGGAAAAATTTAAGAAGTTACCTCCAAAGTTGAATTTATATGGTGAATGATAGTGGGTTTTATACGGTGCTATATTTGAACGAATTAAACAGTTTTTAAATAATTCATAATTAACGTTAGTCAAAACGCAGTTCATTAGCGTATTTACCTTGTGATGGTCCATAAGTAAGCCCTTTATAGCATCCCATTCAGGATATAATCTGGCAAAACCTTTGCTTACTGAACTTCGGTGTTCGTTTGGACTCAGAATGACGTATTATAGCAACATTTTCATGTTTCGATTATACCATTGTTCAAAATTGCTACTCAAACACAGTGATGCATCTAATCACAAAACACTGAGCCTGAATCAATCAATTCAACCGCCGTGCTAACGTCTGATGTCATCACGAGGCGCCACTCCGCGGACGCAATGTTTCAGGAAGTGAATTTCAGCTGCTGCGGCTCTGCATGAAAGCATGAGAGATGTTACAGATTTATGAGTTTTAAATCAAAGGTCTTGAAGGCTACCAGACATGGAGAACTGGAGCCTTATTTCTCTTTGCGTCTTGCTGGGTTTAACGTCGAGATGGGCAGTGTCTTTTCACTCTTACTCAGGTTGGTTTTCAATAAGCCACCGGTTTCTACGTGATGAACAGTGATGACACGTCAGTCAGTGGCGGATGTTGTGAAAACTATTTATTGTTACCTGTAAAGAAACAGGATGAAGATGCAATATTATGTAGAATAAACATTATTCGTCGGAGTTTATACCCGTTTATTTACGAAAGATGTAATTAATAAATCAAACTATTATGTTAAATTATTAAAATATTGTGTAAAATATTAAATCAAACTAGTATATTCATGTTAACTAAATGTCATGTTCTGCAATAGGTGCAGGTAAGCCGCCAATGTTTGGGGATTACGAAGCGCAAAGACACTGGCAAGAATTGACTTACAATCTACCCGTTCATGAATGGTTAGTCTCTCATTTTATTGAGGTACAGTTGGTTTTATATTCGCACAGTCGTTCATTGACAACTTGTAAGACGGTCTATATAGTATCATACTAACGTTACATAGAAAATTCGGTCAGAAATAGCATCGACGACTTTAGAACAACATTAACGTTATTTAACTGACTCTGAACAATTTTATACTTTGGTCTTTGGCTGCTAATATGATATCCCTATTTAGAATTCTCAAATAATACTTTTCTCAAAATATAATATTAGGGACAGGTCCGAGTGTTCAAATATAAAACCAACTTCATTTCTCAATGATAAAATAAACAAACGCTGTTAAAGCTATTTTTGTTAACTTGCTCAAAAAAAAAAAAAAAAATGATATCATTGTATTCTATTTATAAGACTGCCTGCATTTATGAATGTGGTGGCCTGACAGTCTTTTTTTCTTCTTTTTCCCAAAAAAAAAAAAGGTACTTCAACACTACAAATAATGACTTGAATTACTGGGGTCTTGATTACCCTCCTCTAACAGCCTATCACAGTTTGGCATGTGCATATATGTAAGTGTCATTTTCTCTAGTATACTCCAAATAAAGCAGTGGCCTGGTGATGGTGATTTAGGTTTTTCTCTGTGTGGTGTATATTTTTATAGAGCAAAGCTGTTCAATCCTGAATGGGTGGAGTTGCATGCATCCCGAGGCTATGAAAGCCACTCTCACAAGTTGTTCATGAGGGCAACGGGTAGGTATTGTCAAAAATTCATAATTTAAGTAAGTAATCTTAGTCAATAGTGTCTACATTTACTTAACTGAACTTGCTTTACACACTTTCATGTTTTAAATAACCTTTTAGTAAAGGCACAGGGGCAATAATGCTTCATTAACATTCGCGTAACCAATATATACATATAAAAATTAAAGACATTCTGAATCCTACTTCCCAAAATATACAGTGTTTTAAAAATGTGATCAGATTTTGCTGTATTTACATGTTTGTTAATGTAGTTGTTTAAACTGTTAATAGCTGCAAAGTTTAGGCTGTGTATAATATATAAAAATGTGTATGTAAAAAGTATTTCAAATATCATAAATATATTTATACATTTATTTAAATTAAGAAATTGAGTTTTTCTCATGACATCTTAAAGTGAACGCTATAACCATATTGTGCTTTACCGAGTTAAAAATCAATAAATGGTTGAATTTAATTTAGATAACATTATAGATTTCATTGTGAACACAGCATAATAACAATAATAATATTTTGTGTATATTAATCTTCATCATCTTCATTAGTGCTTTTTGCAGATGCTTTGATCTACATTCCAGCAGTTTTGCTCTACTGCTTCTATTTTTGTGATGGATCTCCTAAACAAAAGGTAACTACATAATTATGAATTGGTATTCATTATTAAATTATGATTTGATTTGGTAAAAAAATATACCATTTGTTCTCATAGGTTGCCACAGCTTTCTGCATCCTTATGTATCCAGGACTTATGCTGATAGACTATGGTCATTTTCAGTATCCTTTACCTGTGTGTTTTCATCGACATTTTTTGTATTTAATTTCATCTATTCGCAATCATGTCAAGAACAGCACTTGTCTAGTCTTTAACGTCATGTTCAGATATAACGGTGTGAGCCTGGGTCTGGCTCTGTGGGGGGTTTTAGGACTTGGTTTGGGCTGGGACCTGTTTGGTTCTGTGGCCTTTGTCTTGGCTCTCAATTACAAGCAAATGGAATTGTACCATGCGCTGCCTTTCTTTTGTTACCTCCTGGGAAAATGTGTCAAACACGGCTTAAATGGACAAGGGTGAGTTTCTTGGTTTTTTGAATGAACACTGGATTTTTTTATTGAATATTGATTTAAAGGAACAGTCCGCTCAAAAATTAACATGCTGTCATCAATTACAATCACATTGTGCCAAAATTATATAACTTCCTGTCTTCTGTTGAACAAAAAAGAAGATATTTTAATAATGAATGTTGGAAACCAGTAGCCATTGACTTCCATAGTATTTCCCCCTTCTATGGATTTCAGTGACTTCTGCTTGTCAACATTCTTTAAAATATCTTGTTTTGCACTCAACAGAAAAAGAAACACACAAAGGCTTGGACCCTCCTAAACTGTGAGTACATTTTGTTTTTGGGTGCATTCTTCCTTTAAATTATATATTAAAATAGAGTAAATGTAATTAACTCTGACCTCAAGACAATTCTATACAAGGTAATTAAGACAGACCTGGTGCAGAGACCTTGGAAGAGAAACATACATAGAACTGCAATATAGACCTGTCTTTTCTCATTCTGTTTCAACACACAAATATTTAGATAACTTCTTGGAAGAAAATATGAAAGGTAATTCCTGCCAATTGTAAATAAATCAAATAAACATTAGAAATTAAAATGAAAACCATATTAACAATTTCATTATAAAATGCTGTTTGCAAAATATCTGCCAAAATTGAAAATGAAATGAAATGTTTATCTAATCTTACTGCATTTTATTCACTTAAACATCACTTATTCTAATAAAGAGATAGTTGGCCCAAAAATTATAATGATGTTCTCATCTAAAATTAAATTGCATTATTAATTACTTATCTTCATGATCATCTTCAGAACACAAAATTTGCAAATAATTACCAATTATTGTATTAAACAGTAATTAATAACAATAATTTTCATTTTTGGGGTGAATTAACCCTTTAATTATGCATTTGCAGGCTAGTTGATAAGCTAACAGTGTCTTGTCTTGCATCATTAAGCAATGTTTTTTTATTAATATTATCAAAGGAATAATAAGTTTTTTTGATTATTTTTTTTTTTATTTAAATCTAAGAAATGTGAATTATTGAAAAGCCCCCTTAATGGAAAACTGCCCATTGTTATTCTGGAAAATGTATAAAAAAATATGTTTGTATACCTAATAATCAAGTTAAGGGTACAGTGCAGTTGATAGTGTCATTTGTCTATCTGCCTGATTTGTGTTAAATAATGACAATACAACAAACAGTTGATATCTATTGTTCTGCACTACAAAAGTATCTTTTATTATTCAAGTGCATTATTTTGTTGCATTTTACACCAGGCCTTGCACCTATTGTCAGTGCAAGCGCTCCGCTTTTTGCTGTCTTGCATTTGTTGATTTAGTAACAATGTACCAAGGACATTTGGAGGCAAATGCATTTGTGGATTAGTTTGCCTGGGAAGAGACATGTCCAGATGACTCTCTGGCCATGCCTGACCCTCCCTGCTATGCCTGAGTGTGCAACTGTATATCTACAGCTGAGAGGCGTTAGCGGCTTCTGTACTGTACAGCAGACTGACTAAACTCTTGCCTCTACTCATGAAGTCAGGAGACCTGATTTATGACCTACTTTTACATTGTCATTCACTCCTTTAGCAGATGCATTTATCCAAAGCAATTTACAAATAAGAATAAAAGAAGTGTTTCAAATCAGAGAGAACAGAGAAAAGCAACATGCCATAGTTAGTATAGCAGTAGTATATATTTTTTCTAATATTTATTTATTAATTTTTCCTTTGGCTTAGTCCCTTATTTATCAGGGGTCACGACAAAGGAATGAACCACCAACTATTCTGGCATATGTTTTATGCAGCGGATACCCTTACAGCCACAACCCAGCACTGGGAAACATCCAAACACTCTTGAATTCACACATGCACTACAGCCAATTTTGTTTACCCAATTCACTTAGAGTGCATGTCTTTGGACTGTGGGGGAAACCGGAGAGAAACTGACACAAGCATGAGGGGAACATGCAAACTCCACACCGAAATGCCATCTGGTCCAGCTGGGACTTGAATCAGTGACCTTCATGCTGTGAGGCGACAGTGCTAACCACTGAGCTTCTGTACTGCCTTTGTAATAATTTTCGGTTATTACTATCAGAGAGAGATAAAGATGGCAAAGAGTGGCAGAACATGTAGATACCCTAGTTAGTTCAGCAGTTTATTAATTTTTTATTTATTTGAGTCCATGTAATGGATTGTTTGTAGAAAATTGTCTGGTGTATATGGAGAAGAAGGAATGAGTCTCTCACTCAGGCCACTCAGGGTTGGGTAAATTCCAAATTGACCCTTCGCTAAGCCGCCCTCCCTCCAACCTGCCCTTCTTAGTTACTGTTGCTACGCATGTCAAGCTTTCGTGCCGGGCATGGCTTTTACAATGTGTATGCACCAGTGTCAGACATTGCCAGGTATATAACTAGTCATTTTTGGCGAACAGCTGAGATATCCGAGAAAGCCAGACAAAAAAGGACTGCAGTATGCATTACAGGGGTATATTCACCACATAATAGGCAACCGATTAGAGAATAAAACAATCAAAATTGAAGCTAGCTTAGCCTAGCCGCCTCATACACTGACCATTTAACAGCTTAGCTCATGCTCAGCAGGAAGAGAGTTGAAATTTAAAAATAATCTAATAATAACAAATGAAACTGTGATTTCTCTATTTTAGCCATAAAGTCTGATAGACTATTGTTATGCAATACAATATGCAGCGTTAATAACCCATGAGGAAACACTCATGGACAGTGCTTCTACATAATTCATTCATAGAAAGAATGACCGGAAGGGGAAACTGATGGAGTTGTGCTGAATAGTAGCATCATTGACCCATAACAATGTACAGTACGTCATCTATTACTATCAGTTTGTTTGTGTGCTCTTTATAAATGAATGAAAAACAGCTGCTGGTAAAGTATATTGATCGCAAGTGGTCAGTTTGTGATCATATCTCGGTTTTGTTCTGTTAATTTGTAATTCATAGCTTGAAACAGATGAAAATATGAAGTTCAGTAAAATTAGTAACAGATTCGCACATTTCTATTTTCTGGATCAATAACTCATGACCTATTCGCTATTTGTATGACTAAGTTACTATGGTGAAGGCTTAAACGGAGCAGTGCTCATTATATCGAGGGGGAAAAAAGACATATGTGAAAAAACCTGCTTTTTATTTTTGAAGAAAACACAGTTTAGATCTGTTTAGGGTAAGGGGTGTGTGAGTTATTGCTGTCGGTCTATCACTGAATGTCAGGAATATCAAAACAAAACCAACTTAAATTGGCTCCTTTAGCGCCTCTCACACAGCTTGATCCACACTGGTACTTCTCCCCTTGGGTTTTTGGTTTTGAAAAGGGAAAAAATTCCACTACCCCATCTAAACTTTAAGGATACCGAGTATCAGATTTGCACAATGCTTTGGTCTATTTCCCTCGCTCGAAAGCTTGACAGAGCCCCTGCGCATAGCTACGGTTGCTAAGCCACGATTGGTGGGTGTTGTTTCTTGGGTGTGGCTTAACGAAGTGTCAATTGAACCAAAACAACAAACCATTACAATTGGCTCAAGATTGGCAATCAAATTTTAGGATGTTGCAACCTGCAGAACCTGGGAAGTTAAAAAAATAAAATTTGTGAAGCATACTTAGAATTGCACAACATTTCCAAGAAATGGAGTGATTTAAATTAAGTCTCTGGTGCAAATTATCTGGCAGTGTTATTGCTAGACAATAAAAAAATTAGGAAACGGACACAGACAACCAAGTTTATTGTATTGGTTATCCAAAAATAATAATCATAAACATGTTTTTTAAAAACATTAAAATAAAACAGCTAATTTAATTCAACGTTATAGCACAAAAGACAAGGTCATGGCAGGATGAATTTTTTCAAATGTATTTTATGTGACTATTTTAATATTTAATGTATTTATTTTCATCAAAATTAAGTAAAATAAAATGTTTTTTGTGTGTGTGTGTGTGTGTACCCAGATTTTTTCATTTGGTCAAGATCTCACTGACTGTACTGGTGACCTTTGCCCTTTGTTGGATGCCCTTTTTGTCAGACCCCAAACAACCTTTGCAAGTTCTTCATCGCCTTTTTCCTGTTGGTCGGGGCCTGTTTGAGGTAATTCTTAGAAACTATTTGCTTCATCTTAAAACATCAGAGCACAAAATCAAAACAGCCTACAAACAGCATTTTAAAATGATTTGAGCCAAGCTTGCATAACAAATTAACTTGCAGATGATGAAAATTGAGAAATAAATGATTACTATTTGATCAGGCAGAGCAGTATTACACAATTGGGCACCAAGCTTTAAACTTTGCTTTAGCAAAACGTGTAAAAATATGTAAAATATGTAAATCAGACATATTTACTGCTTAAGAAGTAGGTTTTCAAGACATCATTACTACACGATGCTTGTTTGGCTCTGTGCTTCCCTGTTATAAATTTCAGGGTCAACTTGGAAATGCCCTTGAAATCCTTATCCACATGCATTACATTTTTTACTCCATGAATGCATAAATACACTATTGCCTGACTCACGTAGATATAAACAGTGTTCTGGATCAGTGATACTAATGCAAAAACAGATGACACAATCTTAATTCACAATCGATCTATATTTGTAGATTACCTCAATAAGACCCCTCATGTCTAGAGTGGGATTTATCCTTTAGATCTGATTAGTAAACAAAGGTCTCGCATTGAGTTTATTGGAAAACCGGAGCTGTGTTCAGTTCATTGTCTAAAGCCACGTCTAATCTCTTTTGTAAGTCAATATCAAAATACAGGGTGTAGATTTACTGCGGCTTGCTTTTGAAATGTACCCAAAAAAGCCTGTTGTCAGAGTAGCTGTGTTGTGAGAAGTAATTGAAAATTCTGCAGGGCTCAGGGCCCGGAATATATCATGCGTTTGCCTGACATGAGGCTAACATAATACACAAGGTGTGAGAAATTCTAACCTAGAGCCTTGAGCATTTGTGACGGAGGAAGCGCTAAAGCGAGTCTTGGCTCAAGCTATCATGTGTACATCAGAGGATGGTAAAGCTGGCCGGTATTTAGGGGATAGATAGATATAGCAGTGCTGTTTAGCTTGAAATGTAAAAATCTACAGTTCTGTGTTTATTTACTTTTGTCTTTTCATTCCAAATCTGTGGCTTTTTATGTGCGTGGTGGTGTGTGTGTTTGTGTGTAAAACTGCGGGTCTGAGATATTTGCCAAACATTCTTTTCAGCTACAGCGGAATGAACCGCCAACTTATCCAGCATGTTTTATGCAGCGGATGCCCTTTCAGCTGCAACCCATCACTGGAAAGCACCCATTCACTCTCACTCACACACACATACACTACGGACAATTTAGCTAACCCAATCACCTATACCACATGTCTTTGGACTTGTGGGGGAAACCGAAGTAACTGCAGGACACCCATGCAAACGAGGAGAACAATGCGACAATTCAAATGACCGCGAGGAAATGTCAAAACAAATTTTTTCTTTCTGGTTTTATTATTGAGACACGCTGTGTGCAAAATTGCTGCTACAGGTTGTTTACGTTTGCTGTGAGGAATAATTTCAGAATGCGGGATAGTGAAAGTGTCATGGGTGGGTGACGTCAAACTTCGGGAGCGTTTTCTTTCGTGTTTGCCGCGTCTTCATTGTCGTTCAGTCTGACTTTATAACAGCTGAGATCTTACAGTGTGACATGGGAGCCATGTTTGTGCAGTCTGACATGCTACAATCATTCAGGATTATAAAAAAAATAAATAAATAAAATCACAGTGTGAGCCGGCCTTTACTTAACTATTAAGTATTTCCTAATATGAAAGTAGATAGTTAAAGGCTTGTATCATTCTTCAAAATATATTCTAGTTTTTTCAACAGATAAAATTAAACAAATAAAGGTTTGGAAGCACTTGAAGGAGAGAAAATAGTGACTAAATATTCATTTTTGGGTGAACTATCGCTTTAAATTACAGCACAATGATTTCTGACACATGCGCTGTTCTTATTAATGGATCATTGAATCAAATGATTTGTTCAAAAACAACAATTTTAGGAACAAAACACTGCAATGTTACTCTGAGATGCATACTTCTTTTGCCCTGGGGTAGTTTGAAGGTATTTTCATTGATAAAAATGAAGACCTGACTGTTTAAAATGTAACTCCCTCAAAAGGAACTTCTTGAACTGTTTTAGAAATTCATCTAATATTAGCTATTCAACAGTGCTTGTGTATCAGTGTAATCTGCTGATATTCAATAAAACAGCATTCTTGCTACCATGTGACATTATGTAAGCATCAGATAAATATAAAAATGATCCTATCGATGCATTTTTTTGTCTTTCATCATCACTTGATTTATATGGCCCTTGCATTCAAAGTGTTTTTGTTTGTTTTCAGTGACCTGTTACAACTCGGACGCAATTAAAATTACAATTCATATTATCATAAGACAATAAATATTGCACACCCCAACGTAGAACACAAAAGGACTCAAGTTCTTTCTGCTCATGAAGTGAAATTCAACACTAGACCTAACATGGACTTTCATTACACGGAGGGGGAAAAAAAGCACCGAAGACATTTTTGTGGTCTCGTCTTCAGCTGTAGTGTCCACTGGTCTCTCTCCACACAACTGTGAAAGACAGCAGCTGTGTTTTCTAGCACTGTACAGAGAGTTTCTCAGAAGCTGAGCTGCAACTTTCATAACATTTACTAATTCTGTTGTTGCACAACTGCTAAAGGCCAGCAGTCTTTGAGGAATCACATGTCGGTACCCCAGCAGAAAGGTCAATGGACGCTCGTAACGGATCGGTTTCCTAAAGAGTGCAGTTCAGTCTTCTGTGCACCCCAGTCGTCGCAACCTGGGTGGTTATAAATGTCCTGGGTGTGCATTAAGACAGTCATTTAACCCTCTGTCTATAAGTTTACAAATAAGTGCATAGCTTTTTTTGACATCACGGTTACTTGACAGGAAAACGAATTGGAGTGTAATACTTCACCCTTGCCCTTTGTACCAGTGCACCCCAAGAATGCCCACAGGAATTTTTATTGCACTTTCAGTTGGGAAATGATTACGCTGAGTAATGCCACTTATGTGCTTTCCCTTCAAAACTCAGCATACCATTTAAAGACGCTTACCGTATATGTCAGGGCTAATTTTGTCAGTGTGATGATCAATTTGTGGACATTTTTCAAAAAGGGTATTGTTGGAGGTTTAGAAAAATGAAGAACAAAAATGTAGACATTGATATTGTTGGCAGATATTTTTACAAAGTAAACTTATAAAAGTATGGGTTAATATAAAAAATCTAAGAATTTTAGTTTACTGAAATATAAAAATTAAATGAATAATAATCATTTAAAAGTAATTTTGCCTTTTTTATAAAAAAAAATCTTTTTTTTTTAATATTACAGAAACAACTCAATTAAGAAATTAATGAAAGCTATATATATATTTATTTGCTTTTTTATATAATACTACATGTACATCCAATGACCAAAACCTAAAAATAAAAACCAGATATATACAAATTAATGCTAAATTTAAATATGAAGATAATATCGAGTAGTTAATTTATATGAAAATTGTCAAATTATTGAACATTCATTATTTTCTTAAGACAATTTGGATAAACCTTTTTTTTATTAATCTATTTCAAATGTTGACTATTGCATTTTAGGGAAACAAAATAGAGTTTAAATTTCTATTTTTTGTTTGGTGGTCAAAATGGCATCAATGTGTGGACGTCAAATAGGCGTCAACGTTTTGACATAAAATCGATTAAAATTTTGACATGTTTTTGATGTCATTTTAACACCAGGTTATTTACAGTGGTCAACATTTGAAGTGGATAAAAAATGTTCATATTCATATGTATAATATATCTATTATAGTTTGTATGGTAAGAGTATAAAAAATTTCATTTATATGTAACAATTACATCTGTGTAAATGTGTCCCCCACCCTCAATCATGGAGCAGCCCAGAAATCAAATCTGTAAAGATTTAATAAAAAAACGAAAGAGTTCATTAATTATTTTCAGTTGTAAATTCGTTTTAAGAAAACAAATCATTTAAAATGTTTTACACGATGCTTTACATGTCATTATTATTTTGCATTGAGATAAATTGTAGAAAAGGAGATTGAGTTTTTTAAGAAAAAAAATTGTACAAATGGTGCATTATAGAGCTTTAGGGCCCTCAAATAATTAAATCCGTCCCTGATTCTTAATTTAAGGAAAATTTTTTACGATATTTATTGATCTATTTCAAATGTTGAATACTGTAATATTATGTAGATACTACCAAAATATCTGATTTTCTTATATCAACATCAGTTAATTTATAGTCTAAGACTAACAATCCCTTTTCTATTACAACTTCTTCCTATAATAAAAAAAACAAGTACTGCATTATAGGGAATTGTCCCGTGATAGTACATATTGCTTATTTTATTTTGTTGCCTAATACAGCTTGCGATATAAAAAAAAAAAATAAACATGTAAACATTTCTCATTTCTTTATTGTAATTTTAGGAACATTGAGTTAATTATTAATATTCAAATTAACTTTTGTTCTATACTATATTTATGTAGCATATTTAATTGATAAATTGTAATTTCTTTAAATTGTTAAAATTGTTGTCTTAATATTGCATGTTTGTAATCTAAAGACCTCCAACCAAATTAAATGTAATTATTTTACCCCAATACAAGTTATTAAAGCATAAAGTTAGTAAAGATGAAGTTTTGTTCAGCCTATAGCCCTTAACTGAAATCAAACCGACACCATGGAATTGACACCAACTGTTCATAACAGTGTAGCGCTCAGTTTCTCATTGTGCGATTCTGTCCGGAGCGCATTAGTTTACTGACTTTGACAGCATGTGTTTGTTGACAGGATAAAGTGGCAAACACATGGTGCAGCTTGAATGTGCTGATAAAGATCAAGACCCTGCTGTCCAGAGAGACTCAGCTGTTCCTCAGGTAATCCTTCACCATCCATTTACCCGCCACCCTTTCTCTTTTTGCCTTTGTCTCTCTATGTCTCTCCTCCTCGAAATCTCTCTCAGCATATTCCCCTAACTAAGTTTGTGAAATGCATCTCATTATAATGGAGGGCACGAGGGGATTATGGGTAGTTAATGATATCTGAGAGATTGTGTGACACTGATATGTGGACTAATCTGCAGGTGCAAGGGCTTGGTCAAGATTATTTCTTTGACTTGTCACGTCATAATTTAGAACAATCTGTATTTCTCTTTTCGGTTTATTTATGCAGACTCCGTAATTAAGGACTCGGTCATGTTGGAAATGTTTTACACATTTTTCTTTTAAATGTGTCCAATTGTAAAATATATTCATGCGTTTAGTAATGTTTTAGATTACAAAAATATATAGAACGTAATCTTAAATATCTTAATTTATGTTCTGGGATTGGAACAACATAAAGATGAGTAATTAATAACAGAATTTTCCTTTTTAGGAAAACTAACCCTTTAAGATATTTACGTTATTGCAAGTGGTGGTTCAAGCTATGCTTTGAGGTAATGTTATCATTAAAAATCTCCTAAAGTAAACTGAACCCTTTCTCTTAGGGTTGCACTGATATGGAAATCATGGTTTGTAACTTGTATTTGGAAGATGATAATCAATATATAGGCTAATAAATATATATTTTGATATTATTTGTATACTATTGGACAATGTTGTTTATTTGAAAACCTGCATAAATAAGGAAACTGCAAGAAAACATCTGGGTTTTTGCAATTCTGTTGCCTTTTTTTGTTTTGCTGTGGAAAAACTCTCCTATAGTGAACATCTAGTCTTTCCTCTAGTAAAAACTCTTCAAAGGTGTGTGTTTACACCATATGACAATCAAAACACTCATAAAGTGGTTCAACGGGCAGAAATAATCCATCAATTAGAGATTTACAGATTTTTGGGCCTATAATGCTAATATTTAAAAGCTAACACTTATAAGCCAATACTAAAATGGCGACCAATATATCATGCATCCATTCTTGCTCATATTATGATGTACTGACAAAATGATTTACAACTTAAGCGACGTGCCCAGTGCAAGTCATGATGGACCAGATTCCTGTCCCACTATGGTCATCCACCCCTGATAGGGTCCTTTTCTTCCAAGAGAGAGGTGATTGAGGAGTTCAAGTAATTCTGTCAGTGTGCTCAGCAGGCCATCTCTGAATCTCGTGCATTTCTTGAACGCTGGGATCTTTCTTGTTGACTGTGAGGATGTATAAAAAGATCAGGCAGCCGCCGCGGGATAGATTACAGCCTTTGGCAACAGGAACTCTTGATCGTATTTCTCCACTCTGTTTGTGTGCGTAGTAAATCTGTCATTATTGAATCAATGTATTTAATTATGGCTTTTTTTCCCTCAGTTTTGCTCTTACTGTGTTGTTTGTCCTGCCTTCGTCTCTAAAACTGCTGTCCAAACCGACTCTCTGGCAGTTCAAGCTGGCTTTGGTAGGTGGTGTCATGAATATGTATTTATCTTTGACAGTTCACCAACTTGTATTTTTGACCACTGACTCTGGCGATCTGCTTGTACTGTAGGTGAACTCCTCCCTGGCTTTTTTCCTCTTCTCCTTCCAAGTCCACGAGAAATCCATCCTTCTAGCAGCCTTGTAAGCAGTGGAATATGATTCATAGTATTTGATCTTGATGCTGTGAACAGTACTTTTGCTTCACTTACACGAATGTTAAGACCCAATGCATATTGCATATTGTTGCATACACGCCAATATTTTCAGACAAAAACAGGAAAACTTTTATATGTTTTGCTAGTGCGTTTACACAACAGCATCATTTTTGGGACTGAAAATGCATAAATAAATAACAAATTGGGTTTCAAAGCGGATGTTTTTGAAAACCTTGCTGTTCTGTGTTCATGTAAACACCCAAAAATGAAAATCTTAGAAAACGATGATGTCATGTATTTCCATAACTCTTTAGTAGAGTGTAGATTAACATGCAATGGCAAACACACAACAATGGCGGTGTACGTATGTGGTAGTGTTGTTGCCCAAGTGTTCCCTAATGCTTCATCAGCAAACAGTATTTTTACTTCACATTACAACCAAAAGCAGCGACACATTTTACACACACAGCAAGTTATACATAGACACGAGTGGCAAACCACTGACGCCATGTCGTCAATTCCTTGCAGGTACAGTTCACTAACAAGTGACCATGCCAAATACTATCTGGGTATACGTAATACAGAGATTTTGGGCGTTTTCATTGATAACCATGGATCTTTTTTTTTTTTTTTACTTTTTGAAAATGCAAGCCAAAAACGTTTTGTTTTTTTGGCTATATCATTGTGTAAAAACAGCCTACAGAATATACAATGCTCAGCATATATAATAGACCCCTCACAAATGTCTCTTTTAAATTCATAATTTTAATAGGAAGCTACAGTATACAGTATTATATTTGTGCATACATTAGATTAGTCAGTACTGAAGCCAAATCTGACCAAATCAGTACAAAACAAAATAACTTATGATAACGGTCCAAAAACTAGAACACCCAAACATATATGTGATAGAAAAACACTAAAAGTACAAATTTTAGCAAGAGGAAGAATCAAGAGAAGCAAAAAAAAAAAAAAAAATTTAGTATTTTTTTATTTTTTATTTTGAAGGTTTTCATTTTTATTGTATTTGTTTTGCAATGTTTTGCCTGAATTTAATTGTATTATCTTTCAATTTCTAAATATGTTTGGTGACTAAAATATTATTTTAATAAATATATCTGTTTAATAAATCTGTTTTGTTTGAATGCACCAAAACATTGCCTATATTCACGGAAAAACAGATAAAAATATTCATTTTCAAAATGGGGTGTACTCAGTTATTTTGAGTACTGTAACTACATTATGTGGTGAATTGTGCCATTTAATAACATCATTTATTTCTTTGGTTCCAATTTTTTCAGTTTATAACAAACTTTCTTTAACCCATCACTAAGTTGGTGAAATTATTCTTATTTTATTATTATTTAGTATAACTATAATAACTATATAAGTTTGTAATGTACTTTTACTTAATATAAGTTTTTTTACTTAATATAAACATGTCTGTAAATAAATCAGCCAAAAATAGCTTTCACAATTGTTTTCATATCTCAAGTGATAAATGTACTACATCCCAAAATGAATAATCACTTAAAACTAAAATAAAATTGAATAAAATGTATATAGACATGTAAGAAAAAGAATAAATTTAGCTACAAATTAACTAAAATCTCGACTGATGCTCAAATTAAAACAGAAATCTAAAAATAAATTCAAATTATTAATAATAAAAAACTGTAGTACCTATAGTTACTCAGTGAAATTAAAACCCAATACTGAGACATTAATTAATTATGTTAATGCATTTTAGCTTAGTAGTCACAAAAATAACCTACCATAAAGCAAAAGTAAGCAATTGCTTACAGTAATTCCGACCAGCATTTTTGCATGTTTTTTTTATCAATATTTTCCTGAATCTATAACGTGATGATGCAACGATTCACCATCTAGCAATGTATCTGAATTGTCATTGTATCCTGCATGTGTAGCCAATCAGTAAGGAATGTTTCTGAATTACGACTCTCTATTGGGTGTTAGAAGTTTGCTGACCGAGGAAGTAACAGTGACACTGATACCCAATCCTTGCCCTCTCGACTGCATAATTATAGCTTTGGCATCATAGAAACATATCTGCAATGTAGTAAATATAGTCTTAAAAGTCAAATATGTGTTTTACAGGCCAGTTTGCCTTGTCATCAACGAAATGCCTCTCATCGCTGTTTGGTTTCTGCTAACATCAACTTTCAGGTAAGAAACTAAGGAGTATGTGTTGCTAAGTTTAAAATCACAGTACTATAAATAAGTGAATCCCCATGGATAAGAACGAAACAAAGTCAGCAGATGACTAAAGAGCGAGAAGAAGAGAAGTAGCCGATGGGGGAGTCCCAGCTGTCCGTGCTAATTGTTGTGTGCATGGTTTAGTGTAAGGATATCACTGGATTACATGAAATAGTCCACATACCATTAAACTAAGACCTCTTTGTGTAAACACAACCCGGCATTCTCGGCAGGCTTGCACAAAACAGTTTTAATGAACCATATTTATGTTTTTAGCTGAAGACATGATGTTCTTTGTTATGGTAGATAACTGGATTATATTCTGTGATTGAGTAATTGTCGCACTGTTAGGGGGGAAACATCCACAAGAGTGTACAGAGACAATGCATTGGCTTAGTTGTCTGTGGGCCAAACATACAATGTTAATTTGCAGACTTTCTGTGAATTATAGGGAAATGCGGTGGCATCAAAATTCACAGCTTGTATTGTTGTTTCTGCGTCATGACCTGTTCTGCTAACACAAAGATTGTTTTATTTCGTCAACACGGCCTCAATGGAAGTATTATTTGCGACGGGGATGGTGGACATGTTGTTGTTTTTTAGAAAAATGGCTATGGAAACTGTTGAACTAGTTAGCTGAAAGTTTACTTGCATGTCTGATAAGTTTATTTGGGGGAAATGGTAACCTTTTCAGTGATGATGAAGAAAACTTGCATTCTGAAAATTTGATTGAAAATCATGATTATAATAAAACAGTTTTATAGTGGTGTATTCTTATTATCAGGTAAAATAGTTTTCATGTGGTTTCTGTGAAATTTTGATCCTTCTTAATTTAATCTATAAAATAGTGGAGTATTTTTTTTAATGTTATTATCTGTTTTGGGCGTAAGTAAAGCAAGGGATTACTTTTAATTTTAGGTCATTTAAAATTGACCTAAAATTACTTCTGATATTATTTTAACAGTTCTATATAAATCAATTCAGAGGAGAAGAGTATTATATATTTTGCTGAAAAACTATTTTCCAACATTTATAGAAGAACATTCGACAACTGTATGCTCAAGAAAACAATTTACTGAGAATTTGGTTATAATATTATGATGTTTACATTCAAAAAAGCAAATTAAATGTACAAACATATTTTTGTTATTTAAATTTTAGCATATTTTTTTCTGTTTTGATACATATATTGTTTCAAATTTAAGTGCTAATGGTTTTAAAACAAAACTAAAAGGCTCTGTTTTTCAAATATAAAGAATTAAGACTTTAGTTTCTATTGTCTGTGTAGAGATTTATGTGGGGTTTTTTTTTTGTAACTAGAAACCACTTGAGATTTTACTTTAACTCAAATGATGAGTTCAATGTACTTTTTACTCACTATAAACATGTCTGTAAATAAATAGCCAAAAATAGCTCTCACACGATTTTTCACTTCTAAAGTTTAAAAATTTAACTTAATAAACCTTAAAACTAAACTAAAATTGAGTAAATACTATACACTCGTATAAAAAATGAATAAAATGGCAACCAAATAGCTAAAATCTTGACTGAAGCTAAAATTAAAACATTAGATTAAATTTAAATTTAAAATTAAATTAAAATTTAAAATTAAAAAACAAAAATGAATTAAAATTATTAATAATAAAAACAGTAGTACTTATTGTTACTCAGTGAAACTAAAACCCAATGGCGAGCCATGAATGGAGAAATAATACATGCATTTTAGTTAAGTAGTCACAAAAATAACCTACCATAAAGCAAATGCAACTAAAAGGATTATGTGGATTTGAAGTATGAAGTAAATTAAGTTATTTTTAAGACAACATATTTAGAAAAACATAATTTAAATACAATTTTAGTGATGTAATTATTCATTCATTCGTTTTCTTTTTGGCTTAGTCCCTTTATTAATCAGCGGGTCGCCACAGCGGAATGAACCGCCAACTTATTCAGCGTATGTTTTACACAGATGCCATTCCAGCCACAACCCAACACTGGGAAACACCCATACACTCTTGCATTCACACTCATACACTACGGCCAATTTAGCTCATTTAATTCACCTATACCACATGTCTTTTGACTGGGGTAAAGCACCCGGAGAAAACCCACGCTAACAAACTCCACACAAAAATGCCAACTGACCCAGCTGGGGCTCAAACTAGCAACCTTCTTGCTGTGAGGTGATCATCTTAGCCACTGCACCACCGTGACGCCTAATTAGTAATTAATTGCTTTTTAAAACTACTACTGAACTACTTGTCAAACTTTTTTTTACTTGCCTAAATCATCAATATTATCTGGTAGAATGATTTTCACATGGTTTTTATTAAATGTTGAAACTTTTCAATTAATATATAAAATAATTAATGTTGTAGTTCACGAAAGACTGTATTGTATTGACTGAAATTACCCCCCCCCCACCAAATCTTTTTGTCTAAAATGAATAAAAATAGATTTATTAGCACAATAAATGAATCATGGGTGACAGCAAATTATGGCTGCCATTTTAAAATTATGGCACAGGCGGACAACTGTGCACTTTATCTTAATCACCCATTTATTTACACACAATTAGTTAGTCATGGCTAGGGCCAGACGGAATCTGCGGACGTGTTTTGGTATTTCTGCGGAGAATTTTGGTAAAAATCTGCGGATTTCTGCGGAACTATTTTGGGAGTATCCAGCGGAGTATCATAACTAAAACCTTAATATATGAAATAAAATGTAATAAATTACTCAATAAAAACTGAATAAATTCAGATTTACACATTTACTCAAGTAAATAAACATAATTAATAATGGGCTAAAAATCTGCAGAAATCTGTGGAATTCTGCAAAAATTCCGTGTGGGCCTAGTCATGGCATCCAGCTCCACACCAATAGCTGTCAGTATATGTACAATACAACTGCTATTTCATCCATCTTAGAGATCAGAAAAAACTCAAAGAAAAAGTATCAGTTTAAAATGAATTTTAGTCAGAATGACAAAATATTGAGTAAATTGAAAGCAAATCGTAATACCGAGCAGGTGTCCTCCTGTAGGCTGTCATTTTAAAATGCAGTACATAGTGAATGACATTCACTTCTGTGATGTGAGTCTGTTGTAGAATGACACACAATTATTGTAAAGGAAATCAAGTCTGAATTGTCACAATTGGAACAAGATGGCCATTATTTGTTTCTTTCATTAGTAAAGCAGCCGACTTATCCATTTCCAAATTTAGACCAATGTTGGGAACCATTTTACACACTTTAGTCCTTTTCCAAGAGACAAGCCCTTCATGATTAAACAAGGCCAACTAATCAATAATTGTACAAATGTTGGATTCTGTTTGTTCGTAACACTTATTTTGTTTTCCGCAGCATGCTGCCCCTGCTGCTAAAGGATGGTTTGCTGTTGCCGTACGTGGTGACCTCACTGGCGTTCCTCTTTCTGAGTCTGTATCTGCTCTCGGCTTTAGAGAGAAGTACGGATGAAGAGCTCAGGCTCGCCCCCTATCGCAAACTCACACAACACTTCCTGCCAAAGCTCAACCTCAGCCGGATCGTTAAATGGAAAGTAAGTTAACACTGACGTCACGGCCCGTTACCACTGACGTTAATGAAATCGATGCTTATGAAGAAGTCAGTTATGTGCACCAGCCCACCTGAACGGCCCATAACATTCCCATTAGCTTGACCCCCAACGCTTTTGAAGACTTAACGTTTCAACAGCTCCTTGCGTGAATGTTCGAGACCAGGATGCTTGCTATTTGTGTAGCGTGAGTCATTAACACAGGTTTGCCTAGATATATTTATTTACACAAGAGGCATAAATAAGGGGGCCCTACGATGGTGGTCGAGTTTCATTGGGGGCTCGTGTTGCTCACACCAGCACTTCCACTGATCCTTCACTCCATCTGTCGTAAATAGACATGTTAATGTTTATACCTCGACTCACTGTCCCGAAAAAGGCTGGAAAATAAACATCAAGTTACAAGGATCTGTGTCGTGCTGTTGCAGCGACTGATTGGGACTAACATCATGATGCTTCTTGACAAGTGTTGTTCACTTTGTGTTAGGCTAATAACTGTCAAATGTTGTTGTCGCGGTTAATTGCTGAAGCTTTTATCATGGTATATGATATTATCATGATATTGACCTAAGCTGCAAAAAAGTTACGGTAACACAATTCATGCTAATAACTACTGGCTTATTACCTGGCTATAATTAAGATATTAACTGTTCATTAGTAGATTTTAAAGTATAATGTTATTCCTCATCCCTAATCCTAAACTCAACTTCTACCCTACTAAATATTAACAAAAATGTATTTAATAGTTTATTAAGCTGGTAAGGTTTGTTAATAGTTTGATAATACAGTGAATTGTGACCTAAACTAAATTATTACCAATTATTTGTTATTTTAACAGGAGTAATAACTAAAGAATACTTGGTGTATTGCTTTATTGTGTATACATTTTCAGAGTAAACAAATATTTTAAGCAAACTTAAATAAGTAACATTTTACAATAAAATTTTTACTAAACGTTGGTTAATGGATTAAAACCAAGAGTGAGAAATAGCCAGATTCATTAGTTAAAATTAACAACAGAATTTAATTAGTTGTTGTTATTACATGGCTCTCTTAAATACTCGATTCTTATTGGTCAGTCATGACTTTCCAAGGTATGTAATTTCACGAGAACACAACAGCTGAATAACACGGGCTCATCCGGTAAATTTAAATCTTATTTGCCATCAGTAAACAGGCCTGTGTTCCCATCCAAATTCTTGCATCTATATTCATATGTATCTGCATGTCTATCAAGCCATGTTTTAGACTGTTTGGCACCGTCTTGTAAATAAATAATATGTAGGTTAGTCTATTCTTCATTGAGCCATTTTCATTTTCGTCACACTGCAAAAAATGCTTTTCTTACTTACATTTTGTCTTGTTTCTAGTCCAAATATGTTAAAATTCCTAAATCAAGAAGCATTTTCTGGACCAGCAAAAAATATTTTCTTGTTTTAAGATATAATATGCCAAAATTACTGAGTTTTTCCTTAAAACAAGCAAATCCTATACTATATCTTATACTATATATTTTCCTCCGGCTTAGTGCCTTTATTCATCAGGGGTCTCCACAGCTGAATAAACCGTCAACTTATCCAGCTATGTTTTACACAGAGGATGCCCTTTCAGCTGCAACCCAGTACTGGGAAACATCCATACACACACATGCACTACAGACAATTTAGCGCATGTTTTTGGACTTGTGGGGGAAACTGGAGCACCTGGAGGAAACCCACACGAACAGAGGGAGCACATGCAAACTCCACACAGAAATGCCAACTGACCCAGCAGAGACTCAAACCAGTGACTTTCCTGCTTTGATGCGACCACTGAGCCACCGAGTTGCCCGTATCTTATTATACTATATCTTAAAACAAGACAATAATTTTGCTTGTTTAAAAAAATGGTTCCTGATTTAAAAAATTATTTTTAGATATTTAGGCTAGAAACGAGACAAAAAAATGTAAGTAAGAGAAGCATCTTTTGCAGTGCAGCTTTGTGTTTAATTTAATTAATTAAACATTTTTCTGAGCCATATTAGTTTGTCTAATTTTTATGTTTTGTGGCAAGTAGCCGTGTAATAAGTGGCATAAAGTACATCCAGGAAGGTTGTTTTCACAGAATAAATCCCTCCAGTCTTATACAACAACAATGCCAATAAGCCTGTTGGGCTTTATTCTGCGATAACAACCTCATGGATGTACTTTGTCCCTAACCTAACCCCATGAAATCAAATATAATATGTCTTGAAATCAGATTACGACTACAATTTCAACATGTTCTTAGACATCAACTAAGAAACTAACATTACTTAAGATTATGAAAAGCTTTTGTAGTTTTCATTGTAAGTTAAATTTATTTCTTAAATTAATTTGTTAATTTGGTTAAATTAACTAATGTTTCCTATTGGAGCCTTATTGCACAGTGTTAAAATAGTAAAAATAGTCACAGAATTTCAATCAATCAATATTTCAGTATTTAGCAGGCCAGATTAACATGAATGTTTGAACTATTACGACAGCCAATTAAGTCTCAAAGTATTTTTGGTATTTTGGGAAAATCACAGAAAATACAATGTAGATTTTCTTAAAAAGCACTTTAAAAGTATAAAATGTATTCATGGTATTATAAGTGCATAAGTTCTTTATCACTATATATTTAATATTGGCTTATGTTTACTTTGTGTTTTTACAGTTCTGGTTGTCACTGGTGGCCATGGCTGCTTTGAGCATTACGAGTGTTTGGTTGGAGCCTCCGGCCAAGTTGCCAGATCTGTTTCCGGTGCTGGTCTCTATCTTCTCCTTCCTACACTTTCTGGGCTTCGTAATTTATTTTAACCTAGTCCAGCTGATGGAGCCACAGAGAAGAAAGAATCAGAAGAAAACTAACTGAAACGTGCCTTGACATGTTGAAACTGGCCAAAATGATGGAGAAGGGAGAGGAGGACAATCGCTTTGGTTTGAATAGAACAGGGGGAATAGTTTGGGAAATTTCAGTTTCCCTCTAATGAGGTTTAGGAAACTTGTTTGAATTGGGAAGAGTGAGTCCAGTGAAGGGGGATACAATTTTGCCAGGAAGTCTCTCACTTACATGCCTTTAGTGACCAAATGAGTTAGTGGGGTATTGGTTTTGTGTAAGTGACCAAGGTGTCAGGCCATTATTTTCAGGAACAATTTTGATACGTCATTAAATGGTTTTGTATCAAATTAAAATGTCTTCCAGATTTTTTTGTAATTGCCCAACAATGAACATTCTTTTAAAGCTGAACGCATCTTTTTCATGCAAAAGCAATGCTCTAAATGCCATTTCTGTTTTAAATTAGACGGAAATGTCATCAGTACAGAATAAAACTAAACATGTTTTACTCAAAACACCCATCTATTTGTTCAGTATACAAATATTATAGTCGCCAAATTGCTATTTAATATACAATACTGGTCAAAAGTTGTTTTTAAATAAAAGTTTTATTTAATAATTGAAATAAAATTATTCTGTTGATCAAGGCAGCATTTATTAAATGTTAAACAAAAAGTTAAATTGTTAACTATTTATTAAATATTTATTTATTACTTATTGTATGTAGTTTCAAAAAATGATTTTTCTATTATTGCTTTTATTACTATTGCCATTAATGAAAATAATAATAATAATAATAATAATAGTTGATATTAGAGTGATTTTTGAAGGATCATGTGACTGAAGACTGGAGTAACGAAGCTAAAAAATAATAATTAAAATCACTGGAATAAATTATTAAATTAAATTATAAACTACTTTTGAACAGTTATTTTATTGTGTAAAAAAATGTCACAATTTGTAGTGTATTTTTGATTAAATAAATACTGCCTTGGTGAACAGGATAAGCTTCTTTTAAAACATTTTAAAAATATCCTGACCACAAACTTTTGACTGATAGTGATAAAAATGTTTTTTTTTTTTTGCAATTAGTTTTATTTATATAGTCAATATTTGGAATAAATATAGTTATTATTATTATTATATTATCATTTTAAACATTTTTTTCTGTAAATGTTTAAAAAATTGAGCATTAATGAATAATAGTCGTTTTTTATCTTGTCGTACGGCAGTAGCTATAAATTGAAAATGCTCAACAAAGCACAAGACAAACTAATATCAGTCCCACTTTACAATAAAGTTTCATTAGTGTATTTACATTAATGTAATTACTAAAATGGACTAAATATGAAGAAAACTTGTAGAGCATTTTTTTATCTTATGTCAACAATTGCTAATACCTTATTAACATGCAAATTCATGCTTGTTAACATTAAATAATCCACTATGAGTTAACGTGAACTAACAATGAACAACTATTTCCATTAACTAATGTTAACTAACATGAACAAATACTGTAATAAATGTATTGTTCATCCATTGTTTGTTTTAGTAAATGCTTTAACTAATATTAACCACCGAAATATTATTAATACCAACAGCTAGCTCTCTGCAACTCTCACATGGTCGCCTACTGAAGCTAAGCAGGGCTGCGCTACATGGGAAAGCTAGGTTGCTGCCGGAAGTGGTGTTAGTGAGACCAGGGGCGCTCAACCTGTGGTCTGTGTGGGTCCAAACCACCAGTATATTGATGGGGACTCTATACTGCTCAGTATGTGCCATCTACTGGATGAGACGTTAAACACGGGGTCCTGACTCTAAGTGATCTTTAAAAATCCCAGAAAGTCCTTTGAAAAAGAACATCATGGCCAAACTTGCCCACTGGCCTCTGTCCATCGTGGCCTCCTAACCATCTCCATATCATAATTGGCTTCATCACTCCACCAATCAGCTGGTGGGTGTGATGTGCGGTCTCGCACAAGATGTCTGCCGTCGTGTTATCCAGGTGGATGCTGCACACTAATGGTGTATGAGATTTCCCCCAAAAAATGTGTAAAGCGCTTTGAGAGTCCAGAAAATCGCTACATAAATATAAGGAATTAATATTAATAATGGTTATTTACAAAAAAACGACCATATTTCACTGTAACATAATAAAACTGCTAAATTAAAATGTTTATGAAATATTTATCAAACATCACAAATATTTAATTAAGCTGCATACAAGTACATTTTGATACTGTGATGGCTTAAATTAATCACGTAGCTCTAAGCAAAAGGCACTTCTCGTTCAAGTACTAAATGAAAGAAAAGAATCATTAATACAGAGGAATCATCTCACCACTGACTGAAGACATGAGGCTAATACTAAAGCTTCGCATTAAAATGCTTCGACTTCATGAGCTGTAAAACAAAAATGATGGAAGCAGACATATCGGAACATAATGCTGTAAAGCTGAAATACCAAGGGGAAAAAAGTACAAGCAATCTTTTTCACCCCTCTTTGTGCGAGTTAATGACGGCCATTAAAAAAAATCCATTACAACTATAAATGTTATCAGGTCACAAAGGGGCTAGTGTGTTACAACCCGAGCGTGTCCAGAGACACACACACACACACAGACATTCGCTGAAATAGGAGAGAATGAACCAGTTAGGTATGTCTGTCTTCTAAGATACACTATCTACATTTTTCTGCTCGTCTACTGTTAAGGTTGAACTGAAAAAATCTAAAACAAATCACTATCACTTCAAACAATAAGGATACACTATGAATAATCAATATAGTGAAAACGGAGTGAGAGGTACATTTGGCTTTCTGATTTTTATCTTTCATAAAAATAATGTTATTTGTATTTTAAAGTGACATCAGTATCACAGACATATATGTGAAAAATCACTTTTGAGCTCACTTTATTTTTGTTCTTATTACAGTCTAGAATTTAATATACTATTTATTGTATCTATATTATTTCTGAAGAAACACTCATCTTGAGTTATTTGTTTTTTTTTATTGTCTACTGAAAATAATTCTAATAATTTTCATTAATATATTTTTATTATGCATGAATTAGGCAATATGAGAAAACATGCTGTATCACTTAATACACTGTGACATCTTGTGTCTTGATAACGATTTACACTCACTGGCCACTTTATTAGGTACACCTGTCCAACTGCTCGTTAAAGCAAATTACTAATCAGCCAATCACATGGCAGGAACTCAATGCATTTAGGCATGTAGATATGGTCAAGTTGATCTGCTGCAGTTTAAACCGAGCATCAGAATGGGAAAGAAAGTGGCTTTGAATGTAATTGTTGGTGTCAGACTGGGGCTGGTCTGAGTATTTCAGAAACTGCTGATCTATTGGGATTTTCACGCACCATCTCAAGGGTTTAGAGAGAATGGTCTGAAAAAGAGAAAATATCCAGTAAGCAGCAGTTCTGTGGGCGCAAATGCCTTGTTGATGCCAGAGGTCAGAGGAGAATGGCCAGACTGGTTCAAGCTGATAGAAAGGCAACAGTAACTTAAATAACCACTTGTTACAACTGAGATATGCAGAAGAACATCTCTAAACATGCAACACATCGAACCTTGAAGCAGATAAGCATAAGATCACACAGAGTGGCACTCCTGTCAGCTAAGAACAGGATAGCGAGGCTACAATTTGCACAGGCTCACTAAAATTGGGCAATAGAACATTGGAAAAACGTTGCCCGATCTGATGAGTCTCCATTTCTGCTGCAACATTCGAATGGTGGGGTCAGAATTTGGCATCAACAACATGAAAGCATGGATTCATCTTGCCTTGAATCAATGGTTTAGGCTGGTGGTGGTGTGGTAATGGTGTTGGGGATATTTTCTTGGCACGCTTTAGTACCAATTGAGCATCATGTCAACGCCACAGCCCACCTGAGTATTGTTGCTGACCATGTCCATCCCTTTATGACCACATGGTACCCATCTTCTGATGGCTACTAGCAGGATAACACGCCATGTCATAAAGGCAAATCATCTCAGGCTGGTTTCTTGAACATGACAATGAGTTCACTGTACTCAAATGGCTTCCACAATAACCAGATCTTAATCCAATAGAGCACCTTTAAGATGTGGAGGAACAGATTTGCATCATGGATGTGCAGCCGACAAATCTGCAGCAAATGTGTGATGCTATCATGTCAATATAAACCAAAATCTCTGAGGATTATTTCAAGTATCTTGTTGAATCTATGCCACGAAGGATTAAGGCAGTTCCAGGGGTCCAACCCGGTACTAGTAAGGTGTACCTAATAAAGTGGCTGGTGAGTGTATATCACGATAGTACATTTTCTGTAAATTTAAATAATTCAATTTCAATTTGTTCAATCTATTAAAACTTTTTTTATACTGTATACTTAGTGTACTCATTTAAATATGATTTATTTTCTCACTTTATTAATAACTTCAGGGTAACTGTTTGAAACACTAATAATTATAAGCACAACCTCCAATATTGCTAAATAAAATGCAAAGTACTATACTTTTAAGCTTGCAATATCTTGCTGTGCTGTTATTCACATTTCTCCTTGCATCATTGAGGTGGCAGGTAAGATTGTTATCTTTCAAAGAAGAAAAAAATGTATTACCGTAAACAACCACAATAGACAGTAGAGCATAATATTAAAGTCTGCATGAACCAGAGGTTGTTGAGACTTAGTTCAGTATGCTAGTTTACTTCCAACTGAAATAAAACACTGTGTAGGTGTGGGGCTTTCTTTTTCCGCATCATTAACTTAAAGCAAACTAACATATGAGGTAGGGCTGCACCACATTGGAAAAAATGTATATTAATAAATTTTATTTTTCTGAAATATATTTTGCGGTATACACAATTTCACCAGTTGACTGGTGAGGTCAATAAGGATTATATAGTTGATAAGGATTATTTTACATAACACATACTAACCAAATTACAAGCATAGATGCGTGCAAAAGAGCAAATTAAATAAACAGTGCTTTCTTTTCTGATTTTCTTGGTATAGTAGTCATATAGTATTTAGACACAGAACTTGAATAATTAAATGCAAATTATCATTGTACAGTCTTCATTGTGTATATATAAAAATTAAATATAAGTAATCTTAGTTATCTAATGCTATTAACGTCAGAATTTCTTGTGCTTTTAAGCTCTCTTAAAAGGCTTATTAATAATCACAGGTCTAAAAACATGCAAGTGATACATTTTCACAACATTACGGATAAACTTTGCAATGACAAACTATTTTACAGTACCTGCTCAACTGTCAGGGTTTCTACAGGTTTCACTAAGTTAAATTTAAGACATTTTAAAACATTTTTAAGACCATTATGAATAAAAATTTAGACTTATACAGAGCTAAATGCTATGGGTTTAATTTTGGTATTTCAGTTGGAAAAGATTTTCACTTGCTCTATAAAAAAATATTATAAATTAATTCATTTAAGCATACAATAATAATAATAATAATTTAATAATAAAAAATCTAGATCATGTCAGTGTCTTCAGCAGTAAATAAATTGAGAACTTTTAAACAAATTATTGTAAGGAAAGTTAAATGCAATTTTTTAAATGAAAGTTTTGAATTGTTGGTGATTGTATGGGTGTTAATGGCAGCTATACATGGGTAGCTGGTTATATGGGTATACATGGGTATATATGGGTAGCTATACATGAACAAAGGAACATTAAAACCTGTTAAAAAAGATTTAAGACAACACAATATTTCAGTATATTTGAAACTTTTAAAGGCCTAAAGTTTAGCTTTTGAGATTTAAGATATGTTAGGACTTTAAGACCCCACAGGTACCCTGACTATAATCACAACAAGACATTGCACATGCTACGATGTGACTTGTGGATGTGTACGTTGCGATAACGGTGCTGAAACAATATGTTGTGCAGCCCTAGTAAGAGGGACGTGGTTAAGAAGTATTGTGCCTAAAGCTATCAAACTGAGATCAACAGAGAAATACCATCACTCCAAACATGGAAGCAAATGGTCAGACTTTGACAAAAGATTACCAAAACTTATTCTTGTCAGTGGATAACTTGCACAAATTATTTGTTCACCTAAAATAACCTAGCACAATAAACATCATAAAAATAGATTGGTTATTTCCTCCATATGATTGGTAACAACGATGATTAAAGTTTAGATAGAATATTAACACCTCATTGTACCCAGTTTTTAAAAACATTTCACTGATTGTTTATGGTCTAATAGTTACTCTAATAAATCACGCAAAGCATAATAGGGCGTAGGAAATAGGTTGATATAAAAAAAAAAAAAACTAAAAATTCCTGTAAAATTCACACCACCGGAATGCATGATACAATTTTATTAGACAGTGCTAATATGAAATAACCATATCTAACATGCTTGGTTACATAAACTCTTTTGAACTCCTCTTCTGCACTCTTTTGAACCCAAAGCTAACAGACTAAAGAGTGCTGAATGCTAAAATATGTTTTACTTGTTGTTCTCAACTGTAGCAGTGCAAAGTGTGTGACAAGTGTGTGTTTTGTTTTGGTCAGCTTAAGCTTTTGTCCTTCAGACAGCCTCTAAAGTGATAAAGAGAGAGTTACGTGATCCACCTTGAGTGAAACGCCAGCTGCCGTCCATGTCGTACATCGAGAAATGATCCCTCAGCGGCTGCCAAAATAAAGAGACAGACTATCAATGAATGCCTTCTGTACATTTGTGCATGTGTAGGTTTTCATCATTCTTTGTTGCTATCTGCAATACATTTACCCATTGTGTTTGTGTGTATATAATATGTGTATTTATGTGTGTGTGTATGCATACATTGCTCTAATGGGACTGTATGCCAGCAGTAAGAACACTATTTTGGCAGCGACGCAGCACACCGTGTATTGTAGAATCAACATTTTGTCAGATTTACCGCGAAGGGGGGAAAAGCTTTCAGAGAATGGATTCAATGTAAATGCGTCTGATGGGATGGCAATGTGTCGGCGGCGCTGTCTCATTTTGACTACGGTGAAAAGACTGACAGCCTCCTCAGACCATCTCTGCGCTTTCAGACTGACAGGATGTTCAGTGTACATCAAACACGCTGACAGAGAGCTGCGCCGCTGACAAAAGCAGACCCGTTCTGTTTGCAACTCTGCACAGAATTATATGCAAATCAGAAAAACAGTGCATATAAAAATATGTTTGTAAGTCTTTAGTGTATTTTAATAAGGTGACAATTAAATTAATATTTAATATCTCACTATTAAGTAATTACTAACTGTCAGAGGTTTTGGGGTAAGTAATTGTTTATTTTGCTCAATAAATCAGAAGATGTTTTATCCAAAATTGGTAAAAACAGTATATTTCCAAAACATTTTTTAGGTATACACTATGCTGAGAAAAATATTTGCAGTTTTTTTCTGGATTCATTAGTTATGGGTTGAAGTAAAATGTTGTGTCAAATCTGGTTTATTATATGAAAACCTGACAGTTCTTCCAAGTTTCAAATAAAAATATTGTAATTTAGAGCATTTGTTCCCTCCTAAAAATGTACTATTGGTCAGAATAACAAATCTTTTCATTTGTTTTGACTGAATATCAGGGTTATTCCAAGAAATACTGATTTAATAATTTAAAATGCAAAATTATGTATGGTATTGAAATGGATTATACATTTCTTTTGTTATTTAATGCATAAACCATGCTTGAAAAGTCAACATTTCTATTTTAAATTAAAAAGAAATGCCATCAGTATTTTACAGAATAAAACAAAATATGATTTAATCAAACACTTTTATTCACTATACACATAGTCACATATTTTACACATACTATACACATATTATATTAAAACTGTCATTTAATATGAGAGCAAAAATATATTAAGCATTTTAAAATAAATATGTTAACTCTATCAATAAAAAAAGAGTCAAAACAAATGTGCAATCCACTATAAAACACTACTGATTACTGTTAACTATAAGATTGAAGGCATTAGTGTACTGTGACAACCTTTAAAGTTGAAAATAATAAATACCTTAAGATTGCCTTCAGATATTCAGAAGAACTACCAGTCTGTTTTAACCCTGTAAAAGCAACATAGATAAATTAGCATAGTTTTTGAAGCTTAAAGGGATGCAAAAGTGCTGTTAACTTAGTCACATTCAGGGCATCCAGTATTTGATGACCTTAATTCTTCAGTAGAACATTAAAGTAGATTTTTAGCTGAAACTGTGGTTTTTTTTGGTAATTTATAAAATGAAATCAAATCATTGGCTAAAAGGACTTTGAGAGTCAATAAAGCATATGCAGGCAAAACAAAATGAATACATGTGGCTTCTGGCAGAAAATTGACGTCTTATTCAAGACAATCAGTCCCTACAGGACAGGGGTCACCAATCCTGGTCCTGGAGGGCCGGTGTCCCTACAGGGTTTTGCTCCAACTTGCCTCAACACACCTGCCTGGATGTTTCAAGTATACCAAGTAGGAGCTTGATTAGCTTGTTCAGGTGTGTTTGATTAGGGTTGGAGCTAAAATCTGCAGGACACTGGCCCTCCAGGAACAAGTTTGGTGACCACTGCTCTAGGATTTCCCAGGAATGTTTGTTTTTTGCAGCTTAAAATGACTGACTTTGTGATGGACTTTGCTCAAAACTTATAGCAATATTTGCTTCAATTTTTGTTTTTAGATAAAATTGCACAAATATACTGAAATAAAATATTTTTTAAATCTCAAAAAGCCCTGGACTTGCAAAATCCTGGATAGACTGGAAAATGGCCAGTCTGCGCAACGTTATTTGCAACAGTTTTAACTGGTAGCCACTGGTATTGATGTTGTCTTGCCTGTTTTTTTTTCAGTGCTGTGGATTTGCATTTTATAAAATCCCTAAGGATAAGGGGTTTTAGAAAAAAAGGCACCTACATCTTGGGGAAAGTTTAATATAGGCGAACTACTCCCTTATGAGACTACATCATGTTATATATACACAAGCGAGACAAGTGCACATGTAGCTTATCAGGTAAATCAAACCATCAGTTCTAGATTTTGTAGACTCTGCTCCAGCTGTCACGGCAAGATGATCTAAATGCAAATGACCTGAAATGCATCTCATACTCCTGCAGGACGTGTGTGTGGACATAACCAGTATTCATATTAAAGCCCGAAACACATGCTGAGAGTTGCTCAACTCGGCCCTCCCCACCAAAAGCCCTCTAATATACAGCAGGCCTTTAATTGTGCTGGTGTTTTCCATCAAAAAAGAGTCAAATGTTCCCCAAACAGAGCCCATTTATCCTTCAGCAGCCCAGGATTGATGCGGTATTAGTAGGGTCTGTGACCCCCGTCCCGGCCAAGAACCAAAAACCTATTTGTTTTATTACATTTTAAGGAATTTTTAATACAGTCTATTAAGGCTGTCTTACAAATCTCCCCCAGCTCGACCCCATCTGAGGACTGATCAATTTTTATACTGCTGATCTGTTCCCTTCCTTCTCATTTTGTCACCACAAAATTCATATTATATAGGATTTTTCTATGGAAAACGTGCCATAAAAATCCTTGCTGATGTGTACAGGAGGCCGAGAGCGCAAAGACGGAGAGGGCTTTGGTGAAGATAAAATTTGTTTCAGCGGTAAGCAGAACTGTTTAAATGTTATTTATTTTCATGCTCCAAAGAAAATATATTGTGAAGTGCAACATTGATTTAGAACATAACAATGTCTCCGTAGAAGAGGTGGAGGCAGGGGCCGATTTATGAATCCTTTGCTCAGCTCCTTTAATTGAATTTTCCAAATCTCTCGCCACACAGAAATAATCAATACCCTCGGCCCAGGCGACAAACTTGCCTCAGAATTATTGCGCTCTTTCTTTTTCCATTTTGCGCTCATCAGCAACATGTACGACGTGTAAGGCGCTGGACTTGGTAATGCCTGAATAAGCTGGAAAATTTACAGCCGGTCTGATTGTTTAGAATGGATGGCCTCTTTTTTATAAAGCTTAAGGGAAAAACTTTTGTCATAAACATCTTGCTAGTGAGTTTGTCCTTTGGCCTCAAGGTTAGGGTTTTGGGAAGCCATTAGATGATTGCCGGGGCTTCCGTTAGGGATGTGGATTCAGCGCTTTGCCTGTCAAAGTTAAAATATCCTTGAGGATTTTCTCAGCTGTCTTGGCGGTATCAGGCTGCCTGGTGCTCAGCTTGCTTTTACACGAGTAGTGTCATATCCTCGCCGTCATATGTCATCCGCACCAGCTCCTGTACGGCTCAAGTGACACAGAGTGTTTGAAAACTCTAATAGCAATGATGTGTCTCTATGAAATCCAGGGTATTAGTGATCCGTGCCAAAATCCAATGGAGTCCCAGGAGAGCTTCAGCTAACATCTTTAACATCTACAGCTACTAATGCATTTACTTAGTGTCCATGTTATTTGTCTTGGAGTATCATTTATTTAAAGCTTAATCATGTTGCTGCAGAAAATAGATCTGGTAGATCATGTGAGAGTAGAAAATATTCAATGATGCAAATGAAGAAGGTGATTTTAGATGTTGAATTCAAACCCTATTAAAATGTCACAAGAAAAGCAAAACCTCACTGTAATGAAATGTGTTATTTGTACAGGACGTACTCTAATACTCTGTTTGATGAATGAAGCCTGCTTACTGAAGCGATTCATACTTAACTGAATTTCTGTGATAATGTTTGTTTTAGTCAACAATCGCAATCTCTTCCTGTGGGCAAATGATTTGATTTTGTCCCACCAATCACGTGTTTACAATCCAACACATTCCAACAAAATCATTGTTAAATATACACTCACCGGCCACTTTATTAGGTACACTTTACTAGAACCAGGTTGGACCCATTTTGCTTTCAGAACTGCCTTAATCTTTCATGGCAAAGACTCAACAAGGTCCTGGAAATATTTCTCAGAGATTTTGCTCCGTATTGTGCATCATGCAGTCACTGCAGATATGTCGGCTGAACATCCATGATGCGAATCTCCCATTCCACCTGTGGAGGCCATTGAACTAATCTTCATGTTTAAGAAACCAGTTTGAGATGATTCGCGTTTTATGACATGGCACGTTATCCTGCTGGAAATAGCCATCAGAAGATCAGCAACAATACTCAGGTAGGCTGTGTTGTTGACATGATGCTCAATTGGTACTGATGGGCCCAAAGTGTGCCAAGAAAATATACCCCACACCATAACACCACCACCACCATCCTGAACCGTTGATACAAGGCAAGATGGATCCATGTTTTCATGTTGTTGACTCCAAATTCTTCCCAGAGATGGGTTACGGCTGGAAGGGCATGCGCTGCATAAAAACGTGCTGGATAAGTTGGCGGTTCATTTCGCTAAGCCGAAAAGAAAATGAATGAATGAATGAATGAATAACTCCAAATTCTGACCCCACCCTTTTAATGTTGCAGCAGAAATCAAGACTCATCAGATCAGACGTTTATTAATCTTCTATTGTCCAATTTTGGTCAGCCTGTGTAAATTGTAGCCTCAATTTCCTGTTCTTGCATAAATGCATTGAGTTGCTGCCATGTGATTGACTGATAAGAAATTTGCGTTATGAGCAGTATGTACCTAATAAAGTGGCCGGTGAGTGTAAAAAAGTGACTTTTTAATTCTTTAGTCTCACACGATTGTTAAAAAATTTACTCTGAAATGCTAATAAATGTCAATCTTTAGAAAAATGGCCTTTATTTGAAAGATACATTTTAATAGATCTTTGATAAATGTAATGTATCCTCTGTAAATACAGTAAAGTAAAAAAAAAAAACATTATACTATACATTTCAAATGACTGTTGATCAATTTTAATGCATCCTTGTGGAATAAAAGTAGCCATTTTTCCTACATAAAAAATATAATGCACAATTAATTATATAATTAATTTTATAATATTATGTTTCGATTTGTTTAACCATCTATATTTTATATATCAGCAAGAAATTCAACTCTATGTGGCTGAATAATTTGCTTATTTTACATAAGGGTAAAAAAAAATCTATGGAGACCAATAAAAGTACTAACAAAAAAAGTGGTTCAATCTGCCCTTACTTCCTATACTGGCAAACAAACAAGCTCCTATCCTATTCCGAGCCTGAAATAATAGTTTGTTCATCGTCAAAGTACGTTTTAATATCTTAAAACAACAAAGAGTCAATTCTCTTCCTAGGGACGTAAATGTGAAAACACTCTTGTACAGTTGTTGTTGTTCTCGATGTTGATAAATTTCATGCTCTCCCATGTGATCAAGATTGTGACATTCCTCTGGTGTCGAGCTTCAAGCAACATGTACGCAGAGGTCCACGAGTGTGACTAATTAAAACAATTTCAGGCGACCTTATCTTAAAAACATGCTGAACTTCGTCACAATCCGGCCATTGACTTACAACAAATCGCCATTGTGCGACTGAATCACAAGTGCAGCTTTGCTGGGGGCTGAATGTGTGCTTGAAATAATCTAATTAATTCTGTCCCATGAAGAGGAGTTCTGGCTTGTTTGTCTTAGCAAAATGATATATTTTCTTAGAAAAAGAGGAGCTTTTATTTGGCTGAGGTCGAGACAAATGTCTATGAACACGCCGCATTGACAAACCAAATCTGGTAAACGGCTATTCAAAAGCCCCATGTGACCAAGATGCAGAACTTCAGTGCTTGAAATCAATCTCCACTCACGTATAAGTGGAACACAAAATGTTTTCTTTCTCTTGCTCTTTTAAGCAAAGCAATGGGGTCACAATCATCATACTGTAATTTGAATCAATTCAATATGGGACATAACTTATCCTTATGTCACAGTCTAACAAAGGCCGTTTTGTGATGGGGAGATGTCCGGGACACATAACCAAACATAACTAATTGTGTGCTGGTTCCTATCTGATCTGACGGAATTACTAAGACTGGATATCCACTTAAGATAAGTGTTATCGTTCATGCTTTTAAATGGTAAATAATTCAATTCTAAACATTTGGTTGATTCCCAGAATCACTCACCTTGGAAAGGACCTTTGTTTGTGTCAGCTCGATGTGGACTAGATGCAATTTTAGCAGCTGCAAATCAAAGGAATTCAGTTTTATGTTTTGCACACAGACAGAATTTGTTGTGTGAACTCTTAATGCGAATGAATACCAAATAAATCAATGTATATTGTATGAGCTTGGGATGCAAGTTATTTACTATTTTTATGTATACACAGTAGACACTCTTACACAGAATCTCGTGTCTCTTGAGTTCGGTTTGCAGATCAGCAGGACTCATCAGCAAGAGACTTCTCAGCTCACTACTGCCCTCTACTGGCTACACACACACAAACACATTCATATTAGGACAATCTGCTATTAAATAATAACATTCTAAAGTAATGCAACTTCAGTTGGATACCTTAAAGGGATGATGCATATTATTTAAACAATAATTTAAATTACTGGTGGTGAGGGGGTCGTGTCTTGGTCAGTGTCTTAGTTGATGAGTTTATAGACTTGTTGTATATAAACCACATACCACTAACGTTTCCAGCTGCTGTCTGTATTTCATGAGGTCCTTCAGAGATTTTTGCAACTTAGACCTGAGGAACACAATTCTGAGGGGGAAAAAATAGAAAACAATTTGGTATATTTTTACAACAGAGTTTAATTTTTTAATATTGGCACACTACCACCAAACTTCTATTTATTAATGCAAAATAATGTTTATTTAGTTAATTACTAAGTAATGAGTTCTTCAAATCAATAAAATAACTTTCAATTTCAAATTTAAAAAAATATTGAATTATAATTGTTGATAATAATATAAATGTTTTTATATTTTTATATTAATTAAAAATGTTAAAATAATACAGACGTCCCGATGGCGCAGTGGGTAGCACGATTGCCTTATGGCAGAAGTTTACATCAGTTGGCATTTCTGTGTCGAGTTTGAATGTTCTCCCCGTGTTGGTGTGGGTTTCCCCCATTGTCCAAAGACATGCAGTACAGGTGAATTAAACAAGCTAAATTGCCTATAGTGTATTAGTGTGAAAGAGTGTATGGGTGTCTCCCAGTGTTAGGTTGCAGCTGGAATGGCATCTGCTGCGTAAAACATATGCTGGATAGGTTGGCAGTTCATTCTGCTGTGGCTACCCCTGATTAATAAAGGGACTAAGCCAAAAAAAAAAAAAAAGTATAAAAAATTATATAATTGATTTAATTATTTTCATTTAGAAAATGTATTTGGTTAACAGCATTTATTCATCTTCATCAATGCTTTTATTTAATTGAAAAGTAATTTGTTAACATTACTTAAATCAGACATGATTTTAAACAAAGACAATAAAATATATTGTTCTTTGTTTGTTTATGATAGCTAATCCATTAACAAATTTTTACAAATCAGACCTGTAAATTATCACCTTTTAATTTAACTATAATAATCCAGATTTTATGTGTAACGAAGCTTAACATATACTGTTACAAAGCTGTTCTTTGTGGTTAATTAATGTTTACATTTATTCAGTTAGCAAACACTTATCCAAATCAACCAAAAAAGCACTTAGATTACCAGAGAGAAACAAAATATAGACAACTGGCATGGCAAATCTAAGTTACTCTCTCACATTCCTTCAGGTTATTCCCTGCTTTAAAAGAGATTGCCACAGCAGAATGAACCACCAATTACTCTGCTAATTGTTTAACACTGCTAATTAACTTCCTACCTCAACCCAGGACTGATAGTACAACCCTCAATGTTGGGAAACACCCACACACTCTAAGGCCTATTTAGTTGATCTATGACTTAGTTGATGGCATGACTTTGGAGAAACCAGATCACTCAGAAGAAACCAATGCTGAAACAAGGAGAACATGCCGGGAACCAGCCACCTCCTTGCTGTGAAGCAGCCTTGCTAACCACATAGCCACCATGCCACCAAATCTAAATTGATTTAGCAGATTTTTATAAAGTTGAAGTTGAAGATTGTGATCATTCATTAAGCAGGAAATATCTGACAGATTTGCTGATTTCCGGACAGCATCATCAAATCATCTGGTCATAACGATAGGTAGAGTTGGGTGTCATCAGCATAGCAACGGTAGGAAAAAACATGTTTCTGAATGACCGATCCAAGTGATGCCATGTACATGGAGAAGAGAAGCGGCCCAAAAACAGAGCCCTGTGCCACCCCAGTAGCAAGATGTTGTGGCTCGGATACTTCACCCCTCCTGGAAACCTTGAATGATCTACCTGAGAGGTAAAAGCTGATTGTCTTGAGAGTTGCTAAGAGAATTTGGTGGTTCACCATGTTAACAGTAGCAGACAAATCCAGAAAGATGAGCACTGAGGATTTAGAGGTACCCCCTGTAAGTTTAAAGGTTTCCACGACAGGGCAGTCTCAGTGAAGTGTCCAGGAGATTGTTCTGGCTGTGTTGAAGACAACATGTTCAAGTGTGTTTTAAATAAATGGTGACATAGGTGACATTGGTCTGTAACTGGTAATGATAGCTTGGTTTGAGTTTTTTTTTTTTTTATAAATAGTTTTTAAATAGTGGAGTGATCTAAGCCTGCTTAAATGCATTGGGAAATAAACCAGAGTGAAAGGATGTGATAATAATGTAAGTAAACGCAGGGACAGCCAAAGCTATATTAGTTTGAAGAAGATGAGACAGAACCGGTTCAAGTTGAAATGTAGTAGGGTGACTGGATAGGACAGATTTTGACACTTCCGTCTCTAATAAGGGAGAAAGAAGCACACTAGTAGCGAGTGTGTGATAGTTAATGTGGTGTGTTTGTCCATTGGTCTAGAGAACTGAGATCTTTTTGTGAAAAAATGTTAGTCTAAAAATGCAGTCATTAGCCAAAATTAGCTGATAATGTTAGCAAATGCATTAGCCAATTTTAAATAATAGCTGTTACCATAAATTGTAAAATATTATTACAATGATTTTTATTTATTATTATTATTATTATTATTAAAATAATAATGATAATCATAATAAGCCATAATATTATACGGCATACACCACTGCAAGATATAACTTATATATATTACATTATTATTATATATAATCACATTACATTATTAGATTCTTAGAGAATATTTGCTATGTAATGGCATAGGAATATATCATACCCATATTCCTAGTTAAGTCTGTGAAGAGAGAACAAGCTGACTAAGAATAAGATATTCATTTATTTTTAATTCACATTTAACAATATTGGGAGACATATTAACGAGGCAAAATTTTATACAAGGCCCATCGTCCAATCACACTCCAGATCTCCTCTACATTTTGCAGGAGAAGTTTGACTCCCCAAATGAATACTTTCTTAAATGAATCATAAGGCCGCTCTCTTTATTGATGTTTTTATATATATTTAACTAGCTTCCTCTTAAATGACTGCACTATAAAATTCAAAACTAATGCTTGTCTTGATGGATCGCATGGAGCTCTGTGTTAGTATGCGCTGGAAAGGAAATAGGTCTTTTCTTAAACTCTCCTTATCCAACTATTTTTAGTGCTATGTAAATCAACGAGGCTTTTGGCTGGTGATGAAACTCCCTCCATGTCCTGTCATTAAATTCTGATCAGTCATAATGGCTATCAGCCAAGTGGGACAAAGGAAATATCCAGTAATGAGGAGAAATTTCTGTCTGTTCTCCACTGCTCCATTTCTACCATTGTTAGTAGCTTCATAAAAACAGGGTTTGATGGCACTCGGGGCTTTGTAGAATACAATAAAACAAAAATCTTAAAGTAGTAACAACAGCAGCATTCAAATATTGAAAAGTTGAATCAAAGCAAAAACCAATTACTTTATCAAAAAATAAAAACTCTTTTATTGTACCTTTAATTTAAATTACCATGTTATTAAATTATAGAAATTAATAGAAATGTTTAAAATGATATTCCTATATGTAATTTTGAGCTTTTTATATTAATCATATTTTGAGTAATTTATCTAAATTTTTATTCAAGTATTTTTGCATTAATTACTGCATATTTATTATAATTATTGAATAGTTCTAATTTTTATTTATTTGTTGTTTCTTTTATATTAATATCTGTTCATTTATATTGATGAAGTGATCATTTTTAGTACCTTATTATTATTATTAAATGTATAGAAGTATTTAATATGTTTAAAAAAATATATCTACATCCTTACCTCTCAGCATCTGTCAAGGGTTCTTTTGTTTCTGGAGGATTCGTTTTCTTCCCAACTGCTTTAGAATTACCTGCTGATGAAGCACTAAATGTCAGCGATTTATCAAATCAGCATGAGCAAAGATATTATTAATGGCTACAAAGACAGCTAATCTAAATGCAATGTCACTGGATTGCGAGAGACCCCTACTGTACAGGATTTAAGCAACAACATGACATGAGCTGGGGATTGTTTATGCTGATTATCGAAAGCAGAAAGGAACACACACACATACACACCTTAGTCTGATCACTACAAAAATAAAAAGAGAAATCTTCTGGTGGTTAAAATGTGAGTTTTATAGCTCTTTGAGGGCACAGTAGGGCTATGGTTTCTCATACCTTTAGGTTTCGTCATTCCTGCCATAGGAGAATAGTTCCTGTTTGCCACATGTCTCTTAGCTGGGCTCTAAAATAAATGAATATAAAGCATTTACATCCTTTAAATCATTGAAATATACATTCCTTTATGTTATTGAATAACAAGTAAACAAGTAGACATGGTTTATGATAATGTCCACTAGTTAACATTAGTTAATAGAGACCAAAATCCTACAATGTAAAAGGAATATTTTAAAAATATAATTAATTAAAAATATATTTTATTATATTATAAATTAGTGCATAATATTATTAGCAAAGATTTACTTTCTACACTTAATTTATTGTTATTTACTTTACTTTTTAAATTTATTTATTCACATTATTAGTTTTAATCACATTGGTATATATTTCATTCTTGTTATCTGCTTATTAATATATTTATTATCAGATTTGGAATCATTTATCTGAATCCTATTCAGTCATTATTTGTAGTATTTTTACTAATAAATATTACAAATGATTTAAAATGTATTTTCATTGTGTCTGTGTGTGTCTATATATATATATATATATATATATATATATATATATATATATATATAAAAAAAAAAAATATATATATATATATATATATATATATATATATATATATATATATATATATATATATATATATATTTATTTTTGACCCGGTATTACCTCGTATTACCCCGTATTAACTAATATTTACTAGCAAACAATGTTACTATTTTTAATATTCTTTGTTAAAACTAGTTTCTAACTTTATATTTTTAGGTTATGTTAGCTCACTTCCATTAAACAATAACTAGAATACATTAACAAAATCAAAAGTTGATTCTACCATGTAGAAATTAGCTGAAACTTAATAAATGCTTTAGAAGTACTTTTCATGTCAACTAATGTTAACAAGTGGAGCATTAACATCACTGTTTAATGCCAAGATACTGTTGTCACCTTGAAATAGACCATTAAGTAAGCATAAATAGAAGATGAAAACGCCATTTCTTATCTTAAATGAAAAATGTTTATAAACTCACATTTTCTTTGTCTTCTAAATCAAGAGCTCTCTTCGCTCTGTGGAAAATTGCAGTTTATTAGGGCTCTCAAAATATTTACTTGATTTTCATGAACAATATATGTGCAAATATAGGAAGACAGACATCAGAAAACTTTTCAGCACATATGGAGTTATTCATTCATTCATTCATTCATTCAGTTTCCTTTTTTTGGCTTAGTCCCTTTATTAATCTGGTGTCGCCACAGAGGAATGAACCACCAACTTATCCAGCATTTGTTTAACGCAGCGGATGCCCTTCCAGCTGCAACCCATCTCTGGGAAACATATAAAGTTATATTAACAACATTTAACTGAGAGGACCACAGATCGTAAATAGTTTGGACCAACTTTGTTAGTTATATCAAGTAGCCTTAAAACACTAACGTTACCTGGATATGTAAATACCTATTATATTAACGTTAGCAAGCATCAATGAAAGCTAAATATTGTTGTATTACAGTTCTTACTGTAAAATCACAGCACTTTTTTTCGAAATACAGGCATGTCATTGTGTACAAATCGCATTGTTGAAATGTTGGTAATAATTCTAATATAGCATGATACAACTTAATTGATAAACTTACGGCATTGTATCTTTATCTCTTGTGGCGTCAAAAAATAACCGTCGTCTATTTGTAGTTTGGCGCGGTGCGGCAGCAATTTAGTTCCCCGGAAACACCCATCTGTGCTTTTCTACATACTACAAAAGTATTTTTATATAACATTAATAAACTTACACCGCGTGGTTTCAAATACTGTTTGGTTAAAAATGGGTTTATCTGCCACACCTATTGCACAACTACTGGAGCAAAATACCGAATTTATAAATATTGTATGAGAACCATCGAGAGCAGTTGTTTCCCGACCTCTCTATTGAACTGCGCACAGCTGGGTAGAGTTTGTTTACACAACAGCCATGGCAATCAGACTCAATAGTGAACATCACCGATAATACAAAAAGGTTACAGCTTCGGCTCTCTAGCTCACTGTTATCATTACAGCATGACGTTTCGATAGCATATTGACTATATTTTCATAATGCCGCGCTCGGAGGAGGAGAGGTTTTATATGACATGCAGGGCTGCTTATCTGTCTGTGTTCAGATCCAGCCTGGTTAATATGACTTCAAAAGATCAGCTGTGCACGGGTGAGCATAAAGCATCTCAGCATCTTTATACCTGTACTTTGATTGTTAATATAAAAGCTTACTATGACATATACGATTAATTAACATTACTTAGTTAATCATAATTCAAAGTTCAGAATTTATAAGATAATTTGCTTTTAATTATGAATGTAATGTATTCTTATATGTGACCCTGGACCACCAAACTTGTCATATGTGTTTTGAAAGATTTATACATCACCTGAAAGCTGAATTGATGAAAGATGAATTGTTGATGTTTACTTTGTTACAATAGGACAATATGTAGTGAGATAAAACAATTTGAAATTCTCCAATCTGAGGGCTAAAAAAAACTAAATACTGAGCAGATTATTATCCAAAATAACCATTATCCAGAAAAATTATCCAAATAATGTGCTTAGCAATGCACATTGCTTAAAATATACATATACAGTGCATCCAGAAAGTATTCCTAGCGCTGCACTTTTTTCACATTTTTTTAATGTTACAGCCTTATTTCAAAACGGATTCAACTAATTTAATAACTCAAAATTCTACACACAATACTCCATTATGACAATGTGAAAAAAGATTTTTTGAAATAGTTGCAAATTTATTAAAAATAAAAAACCTGAAAAGTAACATGTACATGGGTATTCACAGCCTTTGCTGTGAAGCAATAAATTGAGCTCAAGTCATTCTGTTTCCACAGATCATTCTTGAGAAATTTCAGCAGCTTAATAGGAGTTCAGCTGTGGTAAATTCAGTTGATGAGAATGATTTGAAAAGGCATACACCTGTCTATATAAGGTCCCAGGGTTGACAATGCATGTCAAAGCACAAACCAAGCATGAAGACAAAGCAATTGTCTGTGGAATTGCCTTCAAGACAGGGTTGTGTCGAGGCACATGGCTAGGGAATGTTACAGAAACATTTCCGCTGCTGTGAAAGTTTCCATAAGCACAGTGGCCTCCATCATCCGTAAGTGAAAGATGTTTGGAACCACCAGGACTCTTATTAGAGCTGGCCGGCCATCTAAGCTGGGTGGTCGGGGAAGAAGGCCCTTAGTTAGGGGGGTGATCAATAACCCGATGGTTACTCTGTCTGTCTGAGCTTCAGCATTCTACTGTGGAGAGAGGACAACCTTACAGAAGAACAACCATCTGTGCAGCAATCCACCAATCAGGCCTGTATGGTAGAGTTGCAAGACAGAAGGCATTCCCTGCCTGAAATTTACCAAAAGGCATCTGATTGACTCTCAGACCAAAAGAAACAAGAATTTTGAGGAAATAAATGAATTTAATCCATTTTGCAATAAGGCTGTTAAATAAAAAAATGTGGAAAAAGTGAAGCGATATGAATACTTTTTGGATGTGTGTGTGTGTGTGTGTGTGTGTGTGTGTGTGAGTGAGTGAGTGTGACAGTGTGTGTGTGTGTGTGACAGTGTGTGACAGTGTGTGAGAGTGTGTGACAGTGTGTGACAGTGTGTGACAGTGTGTGAGTGTGTGAGTGTGTGTGTGTGTGTGTGTGTGTGTGTGTGTGTGTGTGTGTGTGTGTGTGTGTGTGTGTGTGTGTGTGTGTGTGTGTGTGTGTGTGTGTGTGTGTGTGTGTGTGTGTGTGTGTGTGTGTGTGTGTGTGGTATATGTATGTATGTATGTATGTAGGTACAATAGGAAATACTTATAGAGCATGACTATTAATTAATATTTAATGCTTTCAGGCATATTATAATTTTGACACATGCAATGCTTTTTTGCACATTGTCAAAAATATACCTATGCAACATAGGACTGAATAAGAAAAATGAATACTTACTCTCTATTTACCCACCTGTAGTGTTTCCAAAGCTTTATGAGTTTCATTATTCTGTTAACCACAACATGATACGGAAGATGAACAGAAGATATTTTGAAGAAAGCGGAAAAACTGCATGTATAATAGGAAAAACAAATACTATGGAGGTCAATGACTAGAGGTTTCCCTTTAAAATATCTTCTTTTGACTTCAACAGAAGAAAAAAAAAGTCAAACATGTTTGGAACAAGTAAAGGATGAATACATTATGACAGAATTTAAGAGTTTTGGGTGAACTGTCCCTTTATAATAACTGTTATAGTCATTCGGTAAATAATATGTATAGGTTTTCTTTATCATCCCTCAGTTCTTCAGCAAGCAGGTAGAAACCCGTCACAGAAAGCTTTAGACAAATACTGGCCACCTGGAACCAAGAAGCTGAATTTTGATGATTTTTGTGAGATACTGAAAAAGGAAAAAACAGCAGAACCAGACCAGCTCATGACAATTTTCAAGAAATTTGACACAAATGGTGATGGATATATTTCACACGATGAGCTTAGCAGAATCCTTACTTCAGTAAGTGATAATATATTCAATTCTCTTTTCAAAAACATGCATGTATTATGCTTTAATCATTTCAGTCTTTTATTTTGATTTGTTTGTTTTAGTCTGGCGAAAAAATGTCACATAAAGAAGTGGATGAAATCTTTACTTTAGCAGATGTCAACAAAGATGGAAAATTAGACTACGCAGAGGTATGGTTTACAATTTTTTTTATGAGTAGGGTTGGTGTGTAATGTAAATACCATGGTCTGAAATAGAGCAATTGCATGCAAATGTCAACCTAAATAGTGAAACCCTTTTTTTTGTGTAGGCTTGTATTTTACAGTACTGTAAAAAGACTCATAAATATCTCTATTCATGTTTTCAAACAATTATGTTTGATTTACCAAAATCACAAAAGTACCAATTTCACATGTCACATCCATATCAGAGATGTGTCACATTTAAAACGAATATTTTTTCCTCATAAAAATAAAAATGTAAATTCAAATAAAATCAATTTTGTTCTATTGTGAACCAACTCTTATCCTTTTAGCAATTATTTCTTTGGTGTTGTGCTGTTTAATTCACAGAATTTCAACGAAGTATGTTGTATGCTGTAAACACGCAGAATTCATAACGTATGCTTTTATTCTTCAAATTCTTTAAAATATAAAACAAAAATTACAGATTGATATTTTTCTGATCCCAAAACTCTGTGGTTAGTTTGGTTTGGGAAAATATAAACAGATGTTTCAATATAATGTTAACATATACTTTCTGTATACATTAATGTTTTGAGATTGAACTTCAAATGTCACATCCATAACGCTGGAATTGGCCAATAGTCGAGAAGAATAAGACAGGCTGCTGTTCAGTTTTGCAGGCTGCTCGGGTCCACAGTAGAGAAATGTCAAGCAGCAGCACTGGAGAAGCTCGAGGCTGATGTCAAACTGAAGAGGCAGAACTTTGGCAGCCAGCTGAACACTCCACAGAGCTTAGAGTCCCAACCTGAGCCTCCATCTTCAGAATCGCAGCACAGAACAGAGCTGGAGCCCACGCAGAAGAAAGGTACAATGTGGTTTTATTTTTTAATGTCAACGCACCTCTTTTTCATGATTGTTTCCCTAAATTGCACTAAATGTTTATTGCATGTTATTGTTGTATTGAAATAAGGTCTTTTTATCATGTCATTTCTTTACATTAACATGTTTGAGCAACGTTTTAATTAATTTCTGAAAATATACAATAGAATGGGATAGAACAGAACAAAAATAAACTAGATTAAACTGGTTTACAATTGACATTTTGCTATCCTTCTAAAATGATGACTATGCCCTCAGTTAAAAATACCCCTCGTGTCCATCGATCTGGTAACTTCCACTGATCTGAGAACTCATTGATGATTTTTATCTGGAGAGACTTTAAAGGAAAATATTTTAAAATGCGAGTCCTTTAAAAGTAATTACATTTTTATTAAAAGTAAATCTATAAAAAAAACTTTTTAGATTTTTATTATTTATTGCTGTTGATGTCTTTTTTATTGTTATAAACATTTTTTTATTGTAGAAAATGGTTGTAATTTTTATCCATTTTTCCAATGACAGAGAAGCTGATATGGCAATAAGCTCAAAACTCTCTCTCTCTGTCTGAGAACAGTTGTTCACTTTGCATTGATTGTAACCAGTGGACATTTCTGTTACTAGGGAAATTTATTATGAATTGGAAACATATTTACCCATTTTGCACATCTATTTTTTCTGTTCAGTTTAATTTATCTATTTAATCTATTTAATCATCTATTTCAGTGTTTGTCAACCACGTACCTGGGGGACCACCAGCTCTGCACATTTTTCATGTCTCCTAACTTAACACACCTGATTCAGATCATCAGCTATTTAGAAGAGACTGAAAGACCTGTAACGGGTTTGACAGACAAAGCAGACATCCAAAACATGTAGTGTTGGATGTCCTTCAACACGGATCTATTTGATCATATGTATTGCTTTCAGTTAGTTTTTTTTTTCTTTTTTTCATCAAAAACATATACATATACATATATATATATATATATATATATATATATATCTGTCTTTCCCCTATATGGGAATCTGAAATATATAAAATTATTGATAATACGTATTTTTAATTCTAATAGTTAAAAAAATAAATAGTTCTAATAGTTAAAAAAAAAGCTAATAGTTGTAAA